CTTCAGTTCTTTACTGTGATCTAGCATCCCAGGCTACTGATGAGAAATATGTCATCTTGATTCCTGCTTTCTTTAGGTCAACTGTGATTTTTCTTTGGCAGCTTTTATAATTTTTTTCTATCCTTAGAGCTCTGATATTTTACCAGGGCGTTTCAGGGTATGAAATGTTTTTATTTATCCTGTCTGGCATTTGGATTATCTTTTCTATTTGGGCTGTGCCATGATCAGTTAAGGGAGGGTGTCTGTTTTTTCCCCTCTTAGAACTCCCATAAGGTAGATATCAATCCCTTGGACCTGTACTCAGTGTTGCTCAATCTTTCTTCCATAGCTCCAATGTCTTTGTGGTTTTTTAAAAGATTTATTTATTTTGGAGAGAGAGAGAGAGAGTGAGCACATGAGCAGGAGGAGGGGCAGGAGGAGAGGAAGAGAGAGTCTTAAGTAGACTCTATGCTGAGTGTGGAGCCCAATGCAGGACTCAATTTCATGACCTTGAGATCACGACCTGAGCCAAAACCAAGAGTTGGATGCTTAACCGACTGTGCCACCCAGGCGGCCCGTTCTCTGTGTTTTTGTTGTGGTTGTTGTTGTTCAGTGTTCTCTATGTCTCCACTCACCTAGCTTAGTTTTCAGCCATGTCTGCTTTGTCAATGAGCTCATTCACTGACCTGTAAAATTTTAATAATCATTGTTTCCAAGGACTCTTCTTGTTATCTGGTTACTTCTTTTCTATAGCAGTCTCTTTTTTGCTTATGACTCTGGTATTCTTCCCTGTCTCTCTGCAGATCATAAATCTCTGTTGCTTGAATCGGCTTGTTTCTTTAGTATCTTCTCTGTTTGTTCGTTTGGGGCTGTATTTATCATGTATTGCAGTGTAACAATTTACCCTACAGTGCTTAAAACAGTGAGCAATTTATTGTCCTCCCAGTGTCTGTGGGTCAGGAATGCAAGCATGATTTAATTGGGTGCCTCTGCCTGAAGATCTCTCACAAGGCAACAGTCAAGGTGTGAACCAGGTCTGTGGTCTCATCTGAAGGCTCACAAGAGGAAGAATTTTCTTCCAAGTTCACTCACATGATTGTTAGCTAGATTCACTTCCTTCTTAGCCAGTTCCTCACTGGCTGTTGGCTCGAGGCCTCTCTCAGTGTCTATGTGGACCTCTCCATATAGCAGCTCACATCATGGCACTGACTTCCTCAGAACAAACCACCAAGACAGCAAGAGAAGGCAAGCAAGAGCAGCCTGAGTCTCCTTGTAAACTGATCTTGGAAGTGCTGTTCCATCACTTTTGCCATATTCTGTTCCTTGGAAGCGAGTCACCTAAGTCCAGCCCACACTCAGGAGGAAGGGGTTATGTAAGGACATGAATACCAGAAGGAAGGGATCATTAAGGGCTATCTTAAATGCTGCCTACTACAGAAGTCTTACTTTTGGGTTTTGTTTTGTTTCTTCCCAAGTCTCTAGTGATCTTTGTTTCTAAGGAAAAGACTTTAGGGGTTATTGCAGGTAGCGGGCCTGGGTTTACTCTGCATCTGTGACACTTACATAGGCTTCCTTTTCAGGTATGTAGGCAGACAGTGTGGAGGCTGGCTGGAATTCCCTCTTGTGTAATTCCATGTCTTTTATGGGCATGGTTGGAACTTGTGACTTGCTACTAGCCATTATTATATGGAAGACGTGCTGAGATAGTCACTCCCTTGATTAGGTTACATTTTATGACAAAAGGGATTTTGCAAATAATTATGGTCCTAAATTAGTTCCTTTTGAGTTATACAAAAGGAAGATTTTCCTGGGTGGCCCTGACTTAATCAGTGAGAAGCCCTCAAGGAAGGACTGGGGTCCTTGGGGTCAGAGATGCTCTCCTGATGGCCTTGAGGAAGCAAGCTGCAAACAGCAGTTCTGTACCTGCAAGAACATGAATTTCCCAACAATTTAAATACTTGGAAATGGGTTCTTCCCTGATCAAGCCTCCAGATGAGAATGCACCTTGAGTGACACCAAAATGGTTGGCTTATGAGACTCTGAGCTGAGGACCCAGCTAAACAGCCTGGACCCCTGATGCACAGATACTACGAGATGATAAATAGATATTATTTTGAACCAGGGAGTTTGTGGTCATTTGTTCACAATAGAAGAACAATAAATGTATTTCATTCCTTGTCCCTCCTAGAGCTGATCCTTTTCTGGTTCTCTCTTGGTCAACAGTGGAGGCCTGGTGTAGATTCAAGCTCTGTTCTCTCTGTGACTAGCTTCCTCATTAGGAATCTTCTCCACATCTAGCTTCCTCAGACAGAGGGCAGCTCTTGGGCTGTGACTTGGGGGCGTGTCACTACTGCCAGTTGTACATTTTATTTCTTTACATTGGGAATTGGGAAGAGGAGAAGCCTAACTTGCAGATGTTGCAAAGACACCTATTTAATGAAAGACCCTAATGATCACCCCCTTACTTACTCCATTTCTTTGAATGTATTGATTCCAAGCTTGTAGCTCTGGCCACCTTGGTGGGAGCCTTGCTTATGCAAGGTGTCTCCTTGTGTGGTTTCCTCTACTCTGCATTTCCCACTACTCTGATTCTACTCAGTTTTTCTCTTCATGGAATTTCTTACGACTTCTGATCTGTTGATGGCCTATTTTCCTGTTTTATAATGCTGTTATGGTTTTCTTCTTTAAACAGAAAATAATTTTCCTAGCACTTCAGTGGGGGCTTGGAATTGAAGAGAGACAGATGTTGGTAATAAGTCTACATGAACTCAGCTGCACAATCTGGACTGGACATTTTCTTTTTATAAGAGAAAAAAATACGCTTTTGCTGACTGATGCCGATTCAGTATATTTGTAATAAATTTGGCATATTTCTAATAAAATCAATGAGAAAGGGCAGAATTTTTATTATAATAACTACTTTTCTGATGTTCTATTCTTTCGTTCTTTTAAAGTTCCTTCATCTCTATGAAGACTCTGCTCTTTTTTTTTTTTTTTAACCCTCTTCCCACTTTCACTTACATAGCCTTTCTGTCTATTTTCTTAGGGTGATTTCTTAGAACAAGTGACTTTAAAATATTGCTGACACTGTGTTTTTTTCTAATGCTAATAGCACACATGATGTAAGTGGTGAGGATGTTGAGATAATTGAACTAAAATTGTGATTTTAAAATTGTTTTAAGACTCTTAGTTCTAAGTAACCTGAACCTACTTCAAACTAGTTTGGGTTACAGAGAATTTATTAGACAGAAATTATAATATTTTACTGAACCCAAGAGTAAAAATTATATTTGGATATCATGAGGGTGTGGAACCAGAAACTAGAAAGTTGATAGAAACCCAGATAGTCATTACCTTTCTGTCTCTCTTATCTGTTTTCCTCAACAACTGCTTACTTTGTTTCTCAGCAGACTCACTTTGTTTTGTATGGGTATGGCCAAATATGGCTGCCCAACAATGGTAATCAGAGTTTCCAAGTTTATTAAATTTTTTAAAAAAGATTTTATTTATTTACTTGAGAGTGATAGAGAGTGAGAGAGAGAGCATGAGAGGGGAGAGGGTCAGAGGGAGAAGCAGACTCCCCACTGAGCAGAAAGCCGGATTTGGGACTCGATCCTGGGACTCCAGGATCATGACCTGAGCTGAAGGCAGTTGCTTAACCAGCTGAGCCACCCAGGCACCCCAGAGTTTCCAAGCTTATGTCATATTAGTTCAACCAAATAGATAAGAGACAGAATGCCAGATTCCAAGGAGAAAGATGAAGGTTTAGTTTGGGCCAGTTATCTCTTTTTAGACCAGTGTAATGTAGTCATGAAGATAGATTTTTATGGTATAAACATGGCTGCTATGGCCCAAGTTCTCAAAGAAGAGGTAAGAGATAAGTGAGTGCAAAATTGGGCAGATATCTCAAAACATGTCTTCTTCAACATTCTTGTTTATATCCAGTGTGCTATTTCTTATTAGACAGTTTAGCTTGTGGTGAAGACCATAAGCTGAGGGTCACACATAAATTGATTTGATCCCAGCCTTGCCACTACTAGCTGTGTGACCTCTGTGAAGATTAAAATCTTTCTGTGTACAATTGGGATGATAAAGCCTATCTCCTGAGGTTGCTGGGAGGTTGAAATGAGAATATATATGGTACATCCAAGCACTTAATAAATAGTAGTTATTAATTATTACTATTTTCAGATCATTTGGGAAATGGAGGAACATACATTTTACTACTTCAAAGGTTGTAATAAGATCTAGAGGCAAAATTCCTGGTGCTACAGAATTACATAGTCAATAAAAATCTAAGAGAGAGTTTTGCCTTTACCACACTTGACCAAAGGAATGGATACAGGGGAGGCTGGGCTGATAGTGTTAGGGCCCAAGAATCTATACTTATTTTTTGAATGAAATCTTTGCTTCTATTGATTTTTGGAGGTAGCAATGGTCTCACGATCCTAAAGAGAGCCAAGCAGGGCTGGTGATCACTGGAAGAGGCATCATAGTTTCTTCAAGTCAATTCTTGTTCTGATGGTCTCTGCAGTCATTCCATTTGGTGGCCGGTCTATTCTGATTGGCTAGTGACTTACCCAGTGAGATGTTTTTGAATATCATCCCTAGAAACCAAGTGTGTACCATCAGTTCAAAGACTTCAGCTTTTGGTAAAGAAGATGCATCTTTTTCTTTATAAACAATAGATTTTCTCTGCACTTTTCTGATGTATATGGTAAAATTGTGGGTGGCAGCAGTTCATTCATTAAATGAACTCTTAGTAAAGGATACGAAAAATGGTAATAAACCAAATTCTATATAGTTAACCGAACTCATAGCTTAGTAAAGGATATGTAAAATGATGATTTGAATTCTGTATAGTTAAATGATACCAAATGTCAGCCCAAAGTTAATATTTAAAGGAGAGTTAGCCAACAATCTACCTTTATGGCTTCTTTTTAAAACATGATGTATGCTGTTCTATATGAAATTGCAGTAGAAGAGTATCTCATTGACTAACTGTGTAATTTTCTCTTAAGTTATGCAGACATTTTGATTGAGAGGGAAGTGTTAATGCAGAAGTACATTCATCTAGTTCAGATCGTAGAGACAGAAAAAATTGCAGCTAACCAGCTCCGGCATCAACTTGAAGATCAAGACACAGAAATCGAAAGACTTAAATCAGAGGTACTTCCCAGTTAATAGATTCTTCCCCATTGTTTCACATTTGTTGTCATCTCCTCATAATTACGTAAGGCCTATCAGGGCAAGATTTTAATCCCAAACTTAGTTCCTTTGGCGTCAACATGTACATGGTCAGACTAGAGATCTATGCTAGGAAAGTACCTAGTCTGTTAGGGTTGAGTAAATATGCTACAACAAAATACCAGGCTAATACGCTGCTTTTTAATTATTTTTTGCTCCTAATATCCTTCCTTTGATCAGATAACCAAGAGTTGACTTAATATGTCATTGTTTGTAGACTGAATATTATAATAATGATAACTGTGAATCTATCATAGATTCAGTTACAATCCCAAATGCAACTAAGGAAGGAGCAGAAATGAAGTCCGAAAGACTTTGCTGCTTCTATATCTAAGGAGTCCAATTTTCTCCCCTCTAGAATTTTGAAAAACACATTTGTGTTAAAGTATAAGACATTTTCTAGGGTACACTTTTTCCTGAATTTGTCATTCCTGCCTCTCTCCACCTCCACCCTCCAGCCTCCAAAGGTGAACTTCTGGGGTCCTGCACCCTCAGATGGTGCGATTGTGCCAAGTAAGAACAGAAGATGGTCATGGTGTCAGCAGCCATGGCGGTGGGCCCAGGTCCTCCCATGCTCCCAGGTGCCTCTGTCTCTGTATAGAAACCCGAGGGTACCTTTCCTTGCTGTCCCCTTATTCCTCGTGGAAAGCAGACAATAACTGGAGAACTGAAGAGGAATGTAGAAAACAAGATTTCCCCCCCTTTCTAACTAGGGATACATTAGCATTTTCTTTGCCTCAAAAGAGAAGAATAGAACAGAATGCAACCTACCACTAATTGTATTCTATTGACAGAACAATTCAGGGTCCTCATTCTTGGTAACTTTCTTGTCACTTTTATAGTCACTGGAGAATGTTTTCCTTTTTGTTTCCTCACACCTTCCTCTAAGACATACTCTGAATCCTGTGAGAGGTTTTCACCTCCTGCTGCCCGTGTACGTCACCTCCAATTCACAGAGCAAGGGTACACGCTGATTGTACCTGGGATCTGATTGCTTCTCCGGTGATAAGTTGCAGACCATGTTCACCATATCATTAGTGTTGTTAACTTCCCAGTTCAACCCTGAAATCCGATATAGTGAAAACAACAACAGAAAACTTAAGAAACCTGCATTTTAAAAGGCTATATCAGGCACTGTAATTTAAAACAAAATTATTGTGTTCTTTCTTTGCCACAGTAAGCTTAGAGCAGATGCGTGTTGGCTGAGTGAAAGAGGTTGGCATTTACTCCACAAGAGAGACTCAGTCAGCACCAAGCAGTGTTCCCCAGTCTTTATTTGTGCATGCTTATCTGTCTTCACTGTGTTCTAATTTTAGTCTGGATATAGATTGCAGCCCCAGACTGTCAGTAGCAGGTATGTCTTATGTGGCCAGTAGGTAGAAACAATAATTTATTTCTTACTCCTTTTATTCTCCCACATCTCTGCCAGAAAATGGCAGAAATGTGTATTTGGTATTGGTGACAAAACGGAAAGATAGGTCAGAGGAATCAGTTATGACTCTTACTTTTTAAATGTCTGCTTGTAGTATATCTGTACAGGTTCTTACCTTTATAAGAGCCTGCAGTTGAGTGGTAGTCTAATGAATTTGATTACTAAGTGTTTTGGAGCAGCTGTCAGGTCTTGAATTGCCCCCACAGGCCACATAACTGAGCAGGAGATATAAAGAGATCCCAAGTTTTTTCCAATCGTTTTTACCTTTTCACCTTTTCTTTGTTGGCTTGGATCAATCCCAAAACTCTAAAGTTCCTTTTGCAGTTACCATTTTCCCAAGGAATTTTGTGAATCTGCTGTACTGTGTATACCTGGAAGGCTGCAGGCTGATTAAGGGAAGCAAGAGCTTTGACTTGAGTGTCATTGCATTTGGAGACCACAGGGCATTACCGGCATCAGGCAAGATGGTGGCATGCCGCTCAGCTCCTGTGAAGGCCTTGGCCTAGTCCTCACTGGGCTGAGTTCACACTTTCCACAGTCACTTCTTAGGACCGATTTGTTAGCAACATAACTAGACAGGTTTGTGGTGAAGTTCTTGCTTCCCCTGCCTTAGCACCAAAGGAATAAAAGTTGGATAAAAAAACGAAAGTTTCCTGAGGATCTCATAAGCTACCTTGTAGGTATAACCTCCTAGGAGTGAATGGCTATAAGCCAGTATTTCTCAAATCACAAAATGGACCAATTCTGTGTTCTAGATTGTCGCTCTTAACAAAACCAAGGAACGAATGCGGCCTTACCAAAGCAATCAAGAAGATGAGGACCCAGACATCAAGAAGATTAAAAAGGTAGTATTGGGGGGGTGCGTTCTGGCTTTGGGCAAGCATGGTGATCAGTTATCTGTCCTGTAGTGTTGTCTTTGCCACCCTGTCTCTGAGCTTGGTGTATCTGTTGTAATGGCTCTCAGACTTTCCCTTCAGACTGATCTGGGAATGGCTACTTTGGAAAAGTTTCAGCTCGAGATTTTTTTCCTGGTTCTGGGAATCCCCTTTTGGACTCTGTGGGAGGGTTGCCAAAACCAGACATTAAGACAATAGTGTTCTCAAGCTGGGTTAAGTATGTGCTGTTGAACCTCCTAAATTTGTGCTGCTTTCATATTTTAGGGGAATATCTTTTAAATGACATTTAAAAATATTTCTTTTAGATTTAGATTTCAGTGCTTATTTAGAAAGGATTTTTGTGAACATGTGAGAAGATTGACTAAACACATCTGCTCAGATTTCTGTTTTATTATCGTTGTTCCTTTCTTGCTTAACATCCACATAATCAACAGATCTTTCTGCCTCACTGTCATGTATTACTGTACAACTTTTGCAATTAACCAGACCCTGGTACTCCCTCTGTTCTACTGTGTTTGATTTTATGACATCTGAGTTTTGAGTTCCGTAATCTTAATACTCTTGTAAACCACCTACTCAGCTTTGTTAACATTGTGTGAAGAGCTTCACACTTCAAGAACTTTCTTTAGATACACATCTTTAGATCTTTATTTCATCTTAAATTTTTTCTTATTCCTGTTTTCCAACAAGATCGGGCATGTTCCGGGTGGTCTGGCTGTAGAACCTTATTCCTGTTTTTTGTGCTAAATAATTATTCCCCTTAAATTGTAGCAAAACTTCAAATATTGCTCAGAGTTTGAAATAGAAATGCTTCTTGGAACTAAATTGCAATGTTTTCAGTTTTTAAGCACTAAAAAGTGAAATAACACCATTCCCTTCTGGAATTAAAAAAATTTTTATTTAAGATTTTATTTATTTATTTGATACACAGAGGGGAGAGTGCACAAGCAGGGGGAGTGGGAGAGGGAAAAGCAGTCTCCCCGCTGAGCAGAGAGCCCAATGCAGGGCTTGATCCCCAAACCGTGAGATCATGACCTGAGCCAAAGGCAGACGTTTAACCAACTGAGCCACCCAGGTGCCCCAGAACTTAAAAGTTTTTATTTTTTTATTTTTTATTTTTTTAAATTTTTTATTTATTTTTATTTATTTGACAGATCACAAGTAGGCAGAGAGGCAGGCAGAGAGAGAGAGAGTAGGAAGCAGGCTCCCTGATGAGCAGGGAGCCCGATGCAGGGCTCGATCCCAGAACCCTGGGACCACGACCTGAGCCGAAGGTACAGGCTCCAACCCACTGAGCCACCCAGGTGCCCCAGAACTTAAAAGTTTTTAAATTGAATTTGGTTTATGTTATTGTGATACAAGATTGATGCTATTGCCTTTCTTTTCATAGTATGAAGTTTTGTATAAACAAAGATATCAGTAAAATACAATTTTCAGGTTTTTTTTGTTTTTTTTTTTTTTTTTGAGTAGAAACCGGTCTTTTAGTAAGTAAGTAAACCAGCCTTTGCTTAGCAGGCAATACCTGACTAAGGTAAGATTTTATTTGACCAAAGTTTCGATTAAGTTTTTGGTTTTTTTTTTAAGATTTCTTAAAAAATTTATTTATTTGACAGAGAGAGGGAGCACAAGCAGGCAGAGAGGCAGGCAGAGAGAGGGGGGAAGCAGGCTCCCTGTCAAGCAGAGAGCCCGATGTGGGGCTGGATCCCAGGACCCCGAGATCATGACCCAAGCCGAAGGCAGAGGCCTAACCCACTGAGTCACCCAGGCACCCAATTAAGTTGTTTTTTGAAAATGCTTCTGTTAAATGGAATAATACTGATGAATGCTTTTTACATTTTCTGCCTTCTAATATTCAATAGAAGCAATTAAAAAATTACTTTTGAACTTGTTAAGTAGGTTTGGAAATCAATTCTGTTGTCCTTTATGTCCCAAATAACTTAATGTCTGTATGGAAAGGAGTGTTTCAGATGAATTAGATTTTCTATTCTGATCTTGCCAAATAGCAACATAATTTTTTATCTTCAGGGAACCAAAATTGAATTTTATTTAATTACAGAGAAACATCCTGTTAGAACTTTCCAAATAATGTGCCTATACCTTCCCCACATAATTCTATTAAAACGTGATTAATTTTTATTGTTGGAAGGGTGGCAACTAATGAATGCCTGTGTGAAGATTGACAGTATGATGACAACATTGGTAGGTAAAGGAGAGAATTTTAAACATTGCAAAAGAAGAGTGGTTGTTTAAACACATGGTAATTTAGACCATATGGGTGAAACAGTGGGGAAAAAATAGGAAGTGTAAGAATGGGTTGAACAAATAACAGTGATACTAAAAGGAGATTGGGGTGAGCCTGGGTGGCTCAGTCGGTTAAGCAACTGCCTTCAGCTCAGGTAATGATCCCAGGGTGCTGGGATTGAGCCCCTTGTCAGGCTCTCTGCTCAGCAGAGAGTCTGCCTCTTTCTCTCCCTCTCCCTCTAGGCTCTTCCCCTGCAAATAAATAAAAATAAAATCTTTAAAAAATTGTTTAAAAAATAAAAGGAGATTTGGTAGTGATTTAATGCTTGCAGTTTTATGTGGATTTGCAGTCTGCTTTGTTGTTGAATCTGCCACTTAGATATCACCACCCTAATAAATTACCATAATGTGAGAGAGAGATATATATATAATCATAATGTGATAAATTTATCATAAATTATCATAAATTTTTTTATATTTGGAAAGGACTTCAGATTGCTTTGGTCCATTATTTCATAGGTGAGAAAATGGAAGACAAGAGTTCAGAGTTACCCAGCAGGTTAGTGCAGAGCCTTGGGTTAAGGAATGTCTGGTTAGCACCCAACATTTACCTGGATACTGGAAAGATGTTCAGTAAATACTTCTTGGCTAACATACACAGGCCAGTGCACTTTCTCAGGTTTGTCTGTTATTTTTCAAATCAAACTCAGATCAATGTTAGAGGCTATCATGTTTTCTACAGAATTGATTTTTACTTATATTTCATGTTTCTTCTCACAAAATAATCTTCACTACAAATCATTAACATGTGTTTTTTTTCCATGTGGCTAAGAGAATCCTTGCAATTAACAAAAAGCAGGTAAAAGAATGCCAAGTCTGATTGCATCTTTCCTGTGTGACAACCACGAAATTTAGTTACTTGTCTATAAATAGAAGGGGTCAGACGAGCTGACGGCTAACACTTATTTTCTAAGCTTACTAAAAAAACCCTCAATAACAACAAATCAAATAGCTTGATTTAAAAATGGGCAAAGGACTTGAATACACATTTCTCCAAGGATGAAATGCTATGCACATGATCTTTGGGGAAGTCATATACACAAGAAAAGCTGCTATCACCCAGCTTCAGAGAAACACAAATCAGAACCACAGTGCAGTGTCACCTCACACCCATTAGGATGACTACTGTCAAAAAACCGGAACATAAGTGTTGATGAGGATGTTGAGAAATTAGAACCTTTGTGCCCTCATGGTGGGATGGTGAAGTGGTTCAACTTCTACGGAAAGCGGTATGGTCATTCCTCAAAAAATTAAAAATAGAGCTATCACAGTGATGCAGCATTCCTGCTTCTGGGTATATAGCCGGAAGGATTAAGTGCAGGATCCTGAGGAGATATTTGCATACCATGATCACTGAGGAACTGTTCACAAGAACCAAGAGGTGGAAGCAACACCCATGTTTGTCCCCAGATGAATGGATAAACAAAATGTACATAGGGTGGAATACTGTTCAGCCTGAAACGGGGAGGAAATCCTGGTTCATGGTACAGCATGCATGAACCTTGAGGACATTACACTAAACGGAATTAACCAGTCACAGGAAGATAGATACTATGTGATTCCACTTATGTGAGCTATCTAAAGTGGTTAAGTTCACAGAAACAGAAAGTTGAATGGTGGGTGCCAGGGGCTGAGGGAAGGGAGTAGTGGGGAGTTGTCTCTTTTGTGGGACAGAGAAGTCCCGGAGATCTGTCGTACAGCAGTGTGAAATACTTAATGCTACTGAACTAGACACTTAAAAATGGTTAGGATGGTAAATTTTAAGTTACGTGCCTTTTCACCACAATTAAAATTTTTTAAATATCTGCTTTTATATTGTTAAAGAATACACCTTTAAGTTCTTTATTAAAACATTAATAACTGTATATGTAATATTATCCTATTCTGGTGTCCATACAGGGAGTCCTAAAGAGCTTATGGAAGAAACTTGCAAAGTTGAGAAAAAATATTATCTTTAAATCCTCTTTTTTCCTGCTATCTGAAAAAGCCTGCCATTATTTGTTTTAGTGATGGGACCATTAACGCACTAACGAAAAAGTGGTGTTTTATGTGGCACAGGATGGAAACCCTACTGACAGGCTTACCAAAGACAGTCTTGCTGCTCCCTGAGATCTTTCTGCTGTTGTTCTTTAGGTTCAGAGCTTCATGAGAGGATGGTTGTGTAGAAGGAAATGGAAGACTATTGTGCAGGATTACATTTGTTCTCCTCATGCTGAAAGTATGAGGAAGAGAAACCAGATTGTGTTCACCATGGTTGAAGCCGAGTCGGAGTATGTTCACCAGCTCTACATCCTGGTCAATGGCTTCCTCCGCCCCCTGAGAATGGCGGCCAGCTCCAAAAAGCCTCCCATCAGCCATGATGATGTCAGCAGCATTTTTCTCAACAGGTTTGTCTTGGCATGAATCAAAAAGTCATGTGAAAAAAAATTTCTATTCCTTAAAAGAATTTTTACTTTACTCTTAAAAGAATAGGTATTATAAATTCAACTTCAAGAGTGTATGATACTGAAAATAAGAAAGCTGTCATTTGTGTTTCATTATTTGCCCAAATTTACATGTCTTTATCTTGAATCATGGCATCTAGTTTTCTGTTTTTTTTCTCTATTTGACATGTATTTTCTTGTCATTGTGTGGGTGTGTGTGTTGGGAATGATAATCTCCTTCATAAACTGAGGGAAGTGAAGTCAGTAATGGGTCTTTACATGTAATTTATACAGACGTACTTTAGAAAGAACAATAACTAACAGAGAACCCAAGAATCTGTAGTGAATTTATTTCTACATATTATACACTATATATAGTGTCCTTGCTGCTGAGGATTTGTCAGTGAGCAAAGCAGAAATCCTTGCCTTCATGGAGCTTAAACTGTGATGTGGAAAGAGACATAATGAATAGTGAATAAGTGAAATATGTAGTATATTATGTGGTGATGAGTGTTGTGAAAAGAAATCAAGAGGAGAGGAGACGGGAGAAAGGGGGTGCCTGGGTGTTTTATGTAAAATTTAGTAATTTATTTATTTCTGAATATATAATACATTTACATTGTGCAAAATTCAAAACACCACAAAAACATCAAATAACTCTTACTCTGTCTCTGCCCACCCCATATAACCCACTTTTTATTTTTAACCATTTTCATTAGTTTCTTATATACCTCTCTAGTGTTTCTTGATGTAGATCTAAACAAATATGAATATAGAGTATTAGTTTTTCCCCCTTCTTACACAAAGACAATGAACTTTAACATGTACTTGCCTTTTTCACTTAACGGTATATTCTGGACATCTTCCCCTATTGACATCTAAAGAGCTTTCTATTTTATAAAAAATCACTACATTGTTTTACATTATGTGAATGTGCCATATTTTTTCTCTAGCCAGCCTTTGGAAAGACCTCAGAGATAAGTTGATATTTGAATAAAGACTTGAGGTTGATGGGGAAGCAAGCCATTGGGCTATCTGGGAGAAGAGTGACACAGAGGAGGAGACTGCCTGTACAAAGTCCTGAGGCTGGGGCAGACCTGGCTTGCTTGATTGAGAAACTGCCTAAGGTCCATGTGGATGAAAAGCGGTAACAATTGGACATTGTAAAGATGTTTGCTTTTACTGTAAATAAGATAGGCAGATACTGGTAGCATTTTGAGGAGAGAAGTAGCATCATATAACTTATGTTTTAAAATCTCACTCTGGTTTCTCTGTTGGGAATCGAGCACAGGGAAATCAGTTTGGTGGCTATTTCAATAAACCAGGTGAGAGATGACTGTAGCAGGGAGGCCTATTAGGTGGCTATCCCAACAATATAGGCGAAGGGTGATTGTAATGGAGGCCATGATAAACAGTTAGATTCTGGGTATATTTTTAAATAGAGCCAATGAAATTTCCTGCTGAGTTTGATGTGGGGTTTTGAGCAACATCCAAGGTTTTTGGGCTGAAAAACTAGAAGAATAGAGTTAACTACTCACTAAATGGAGAACACTGAGGTATAAACAGGTTTAGGGGGAAAGATAAAGAAATTTTAGTCTCAGACCTCTCAAGCATGAGACGTTATTAGCCATCCAAATGGAGAAATCAAGTGAACAGGGATTGGATATCAGTCTGGAGTTCAGGGAAGGAGTTTGGGCTGGAGATATAGATTTGGGGGTCCAATAGCATATAAAGAGTATTTAAAGCTGTTGGTCTGCGTGAGAGTACCAAGGGAGTAAGCACAGATGAATGAAGGAAGAGGAACAAGGACTGAGCCTTGGGATATTCCAACATTTAGAGATTAAGAAGATGAAGAGGAACCAGCAGAAGAGAGTGAAGAGGGTAAGTTAGGGTTGTAGAATGAAAACCAGCAGAAGGGGTTGTCCTGGAAACCAAGGCAAGAGAGAACTATGTCAAAAAGGTCAAATAAAATGATAACTGAGAACTGGCCGTGGGTTTAACACAGAGCTTTTTGGTGACTTTGATGAGGGGCCAAAGCCTCATTGGAGGGGACTTAAGAGAGAATGGGGGGAAGGATAATAATTGGAGAGAGTTGGTATCAAAAACTCAGTGTTGCTGTAGAGAGGAGCCAGTAAACAAGATGCTACTTGGAAGTAAATTTAAAAGTATAAACAACTGTGTTTGTGTTTCAAGATGGGATAAAAATTACACTGATAGCAAGTGGGCAATGATGTAGGAGAGAGGGGGAAATTTCTGGAGCAATAAGCTTGCATAGACATAAGTGGATAGAACGTAGTGTTCAAGTCAAGTTGGGAGCACAGAGAGGAAGAGAATAGTACCTTGACACTTATGCCATTAGGAAGCAAGGATATGCGGTCATGGTGCTAACAGAAGGAAAGTGCTGGTTAGAGAGGAAAGGTGTAAAATAATGCAGTATGATTGCTAGGCAGCTGGAAGAGCCTACATTGCTCTGTTAGGCTGGTGGTCATGACTTTGCAGTGAGACTAGTCAGGATGGTTGAGTGTTTTTCCTTTAGCTCCTTTCAGCTGCATGGGTGCCTGTACAGAGTAGGTGGATGGCTGGCTTTTTGTTGTTGTATGAGGCTAATATGATGAAATCAGAAATGAATGGGGGGGTGTTCCTGGGTGGCTCATTTGATTGAGTGACTGCCTTCAGCTCAGGCCATGATCCTGGAGTCCTGGGATGGAGTCCCACATTGGGCACCCTGCGTCTGCTTCTCCCTCTGACCTTCCCCCTGTCATGCTCCCTCACTCTCATTCTCTGTCTCTCAAATAAATAAGTAAAATCTTTAAAAAAAAAAAAAGAAAGAAAAATGAAGAGGGGGAGTTGAAGATGTATGCAAGGGAGAGATTATAACGATGAGCCATGGAAGCTAAGCTGTACAGAGAGGGAAATGATGGTATGAGGGGGTGGTGGTCAGTATCATGGATTAAGGTCCTGGTGATGTGAAAGGATTTTTGGAGTTCGAATTCTAAAGAAGTAAATGGAAAGATAAGGAGGTGGTCAGAGAATAGTTTGCTTGAAATAGATAGGGAAGGGATGTAGTTACTGACAATGACAAGGTCTGAAGTATAGTCAAAGGAGTGTTGGTTAGGTCAATGGAGGGTAAGATCCCTAGAGGAGAGGAGTTTAAAGACCCTAGAGGACAGGATATTGGAATGTTGTTTTTTTGTGCATATTAGATTTGACCAGAATTATGACAGGAGTAGGGCTAGAGAAAGGACTGCCAACGAGCTGGGAGCTTGGAGCTCAAAACTCAAGGCATTAAAAGAGAATCTGGAGAGAGTTCTCCTCCACACTGGTGTTGTAGGAAGACCCTAAACTCACCTCCTCCATGGAACACAACAAATTACGGCTAGTAATAGAACAGTTCCTCTTAAAGAAGAACTGAGGGCTTGACCGAACTGTTTCTGCACAACCAAAGGTAGAGAGAAGGGCAAGAGAACAGCAAGAGAGAGGGAGACGTGGTAAAAAGGGAATCAGCCCTTAATGCTGCAAAAAGCAGTGGGACTGGAAGTACTGAGGGGCCAGGAACAGATTCCCCTGTCTTTGGGCACAGAATAAAAGCCATAGTTTAAAAGAGCAACTGGCATATAAAAAAGAAACAATGCTAGAACTTTGCCCAGTGGTGGAAGCTGCATGGGTGCTCTCCAAATCAGAGGGGCTGGAGAATGACACGGTTTATGTTCCCATCCCACTTTTTTGTCTATTTGTTTTTATCAAAGCCTGGAAAAGTAACATTAATTTTGTTAGTTAACTCATTCCTCACACCTACATGTTTGTCTGTATACTCCTTTAAGGAAGTAACTTAAGTGTCCATCAGTGGACCAATGGATAAGGAAAAAGTGGAGGTTATGTGTACACACACACACACGCACAGATATATTACACAGCCATAAGAAGGGATACGATCGTGTTATTTGAGACAACATGGTTGGACCTGGAGGCTGTTTTACTAAATGAAATAGGCCTAAGAAAGACAAATACCATATGGTTCCACTCAAAAGTGGGATCTAGAATTAGATAAATAAATAAACAAAAAGCAGAATCAGACCTATAAATACAGAGAACAAACTGATGGTTGCCAGAGCAGAGGTGGGTAAGGGTTTGGGCAAAATGGGTAAAAGGGAGAGGGACATACAGGCTTCCAGTTAGGGATGAATTAAGTCATGGGAATAAAAAGCAGAGCGTAAGGACTATAGTCAATTATATTGTAAAAGTGACAGGAGAGATGGTAGTTAGTCTTATGGTGACCATAGTATCATATATAAACCTGTCAAATCACTAACTGTACACGTGAAAGTAACGTAATATTGTGTATCAACCATAGTCAAAAAAATTTCTTTGAAGAAAAAGAAAAAAAATTATTGCAATATGTTTTAATTTGGCTTTTCTTTTTTAAGATTTTTTTTTTTAAATTTTATTTGACAGATCACAAGTAGGCATAGAGGCAGGCAGAGAGAGACAGGAGGAGGAGGCAGGCTTCCTGCTGAGTAGAGAGCCCGATGCGGGGCTCGATTCCAGGACCCTGAGATCATGACCTGAGCCGAAGGCAGAGGCTTTAACCACTGAGCCACCCAGGCGCCCCTTAATTTGGCTTTTTAAAGAATTAGGTTTTTTGCATTTATCTTATTCTTTGTTTTATTTACTTTTGTTATTGAAGTATAATTGACATGCGATGTTATATTAGTTTCAGATGTGCAATGTAATGATTCAGCAATTCCATACATTACTTAGTGCTCAACAGGATATATGTACCCTTAATTCCCTTTATTTTACCCTTCCTCCAGCCTGCGTTCATTTCAAGTTACCGCCAATTCTGAGCTAAAGGTTATTTTCCCTAGGTTTTTATAAAGTGAAAACCCATACTGTAAGGAAGATTTTAGGGACTAAATCATTGGTCCCAATTAAAATGCATATAAGTATTTTAAAAAGGCAAGACTGGGAGGGTCTGTAGATGGCTGCAAAAAGACTGGTTGATGGATGGTAACTTGCTTCTTTTTTAACGATTGATTGATTTATTTGAGAGGGGAGGGGCAGAGGGAGAAGGAGAGAGAGGCTGTCAAGCAGACTCCCCACTGAATGCAGAGCCTGTCTTGGGGCTTGATTGAGCCACCAGGTGCCCCTGGATGGTAACTTGTTAACAGGATATTAGAAGCTTCTCTGTTGTGAGGTGGGAGTTCTCCCCACATTAGGTGGCAGTGGCCATGCTCGAGTGTGTGGGACATTGCAAGGGACCCAAGGGGAGCTCCTGCTCCTCAGGCCATACAACTCACATTGTGGCAACGCGTCAGCCACCCAAGTGTGTCATTCTATCAGTTTTGATGACAGTGGACAGGATGGTAAATGGCACTCTGCTCATGAGGTTGGCAGACCACCGCATTGATCTTAGGTCACCTCTGGGGATTGGTTTCCATTGGATTGCCTGATCTGCCATCTGGAAGGCCAGGCTTGTCATATTGTTTAAAATTCAGATTCAGGATGTGCTGTGCCACTTCTTGGAAGGCAAGGCTGTCAGCTCTTCACACAGTTAGTAATTGTTTACTATCCCTCGTCCTTAATGGACATTTGAAGAGGTATGTTTTTATTTTTTTATTTATTTGTTTTTAAGATCTGTGTTTTTATTTTTCCACTCTTTTTTTTTTTTTGCTTCTAAAGAATTTTTTACTTTTAATTTGAGTTAACATACTGAAGACATATGTTTTTAAAGTGGAGGCTTGCTTATAGGGTGTTGTCATTGCTGTTGTTTAACTGGATTCCTTTCTTTCCCTTTAAGTGGGAGGTAAAGCCTTCCAGTTATGGCAGGTCATTTTTTTTTAAATTTCATTTTTTTAAAGATTTTTAAATTGTATTTATGAGTGAGAGAGAGTGAGCAAATGGGGGGAGGCAAAGGGTGAGGGACAAGCCGACTCTGCAAGTGCAGAGCCTGATGAGGGGCTTGATCTCGTGACCCTGAGATCATGACCTGAGCTGAAACCAAGAGCCTGATGCTCAACCAACTGAGCCACTCTGATGCCCCAATTATTTTGAATTTCAACCAAGTTTATACTTAAAAAAAAAAAAAAATAACCTCCCTATCTACATGCAGGATTGTTTCATCTGTTTTCTAATCACCTAGGTATCAAAATATAAAAGTAGATACATCAGTTACCTACATTTTCAATGTAGGAAGGTGAAGCCTCTCTGTGAGTGGAGGGAGTTCACTGCTTACAGAAGTTTTTGGAGAAGCTGGAGGAGTCACGTCAGGGAGCTGTCCCTGGAACTTTGAGTTCAAGGGCACAGCACCGTAGACATGCTTCAGTGGTTAGCAAAGTACAGCCACCACCATTGCCACCATATCTGCCTCTCAGGTCCAGGAAGCTGTTGCCTAGAAACGAGGACAGTGAAGCTGGGTGCTGGAATGGCTTCTAAAACACGCACATCTCCACGACTGATTTTCAGCAACAGGAAGGTCTCCTCTGCTCCTGCTTTCCATGCCTTACCAAGTGCATCTGTTCGGTGCGAATGGTGGAACTGAACCTCCATCCAGAACCGCATTTACAAGGGAGGCTGGGGAGCGTAGCTTTAGCTCTCCATCCTGTTCACCTAGAAGGAGGATGGAATGGAGGTTAAAAGGCTAATAGACCCAGCAATTGCACTACTGGGTATTTACCCCAAAGATACAGATGCAGCGAAAAGAAGGGCCATAAGTACCCCAATGTTCATAGCAGTGCCTACAATTGCCAAACTGTGGAAAGAGCCAAGATGCCCTTCAACAGACGAGTGGATAAAGAAGATATGGCCCAAATATACAATGGAGTATTATGCCTCCATCAGAAAGGATGAATACCCAACTTTTGTATCAGCATGGATGGGACTGGAGGGACTATGCTGAGTGAAATAAGTCAAGCAGAGAAAGTCAATTATCGTATAGTTTTCACTTATTTGTGAAACATAAGGAATAGCATGGAGGACATTAGGAGGATAAAATGAAAGAGGAGAAATCGGAGTGGGAGATGAACCGTGAGAGACTATGGACTCCAGGAAATAAATGGAGGGTTTTAGAAGGGAGAAGGGTTGGGGGTAGGATGAGCATGGTGATGGATTGCATGGAGCACTGGGTGTTATATGCAAATGATGAATCAAGGAACCTACATCAGAAACTAATGATGTACTATATGGTGACTAACATACACAATTTAAAAAAAAAAAGGACCTAATATATACAATACCCACCAAACTAGTTTTGGTTGAAATCCTTGAACAGCAAACACCACTTAGTTAACATTTCTATAAAACAAAAATAAATTATTATCTTCAAGCAGTGGGTGTTTTGTTTCAGGGACCATTTGGAAAAAGTTAAGGATTTCCCACTGATGTATATGTAGTGGAATTTGACTTCAGCAAACCAGAGAGTCTCACTTACATGAATGAGTCTGTATTTGATTCTGTGGATGTGCTAGTTCAGAAAAGGCTTTAGAGGTTCATGCCAGTGGGTTAATTGTAATGAGGAAAAAGCAAAAGTTGCTTTGGTAACTACTCTTCTTGAACCTTTAAGAAATTTGGATCTCTATGCATTGTTCGTATTTTAGTATCTCCATGTAGGCTTTGTCCTTTTCAGAGGATTCTTTCACATTTCCTTCTGGGAGTCTGAGGAGTGGTTACAGCACAGTTCTGCCAAACCTTTGCTATGGATTTTTTCCCCTGTCTCCTCTGTCAAAACTTATTTTAATGAAAGAGAGACTCCTTTCCCTGAGTTAGGATCTAGAATCAAATCTAAAAGGAAAAGGATCACAGCTAATTTTTTGATTATCCATTGAAGTGCTACATTCTAACAGTAGAAAGATGTTTCTATTATAAGTTGGTAAAGAGGGTTATATGACAATGATTTGCTACTTACTGTCTTCCAGTATTTGAAGCTTAGCTCAGAATTTTCCTTCAATTTTTAAGATTGTCTGAAGGGGGTACTTCTGGGAGGCTCATTTGGTTAAGCGCCTGCCTTTGGCTTGAGTCATGATTCCAGGGTCCTAGAATCCAACCCTGCATCAGGCTCCCTGCTCAGTGGGGAGCCTGCTTCTCCCTTTGCCTCTGCCTGCTGCTCCCCCTGCTTGTGCTCCCTCTCTAACAAATAAATAAATAAAATATTTTAAAAAATTGTCTGAAAGGCACATTGCTTTTTGAGGGCTAGTGCAGTCCATGTTATTATTTGGTCTTCAGTCTGGAGGCCCTGGGAGACATGTATATCATGTATTTATTAAGGCATTAAAAACTCATGGGGCGCCTGGGTGGCTCAGTGGGTTAAAGCCTCTGTCTTCGGCTCAGGTCATGATCCCAGGGTCCTGGGATCAAGCCCCTCATTGGGCTCTCTGCTCCTCGGGGAGCCTGCTTCCCCCTCTCTCTCTCTTTGCCTGCCTCTGCCTACTTGTGATCTCTGTCAAATAAATAAATAAAATCTTAAAAAAAAAAAAAAAACTCAGTGGGCTTCTTCAACAAAATAGACATTTTACAATGATTGGATTGTATTATTTTCCCACTTTTTTTTATAGTGAAACGATCATGTTCCTTCATGAAATATTTCACCAAGGATTGAAGGCAAGGATAGCAAACTGGCCTACTCTAATTTTAGGTAAGTCCATGCTTTAAAGATAAAAGATTTTCTCTTAATATGGCAACAATTTAAGTAAAATCGCTTCAACATCATTCAGCCTACGCTGTCTGAATTTCCCTGTTGACCTGTGAGCTTCCTTGGGTACCAGGCTTCTGTTTCAGTGCCCCCCAGCCCTTTTCTCTGGTCTGTCATGGCGCCTGTGGGGCTAGAGTGGTGCCCGGCTCCCCAGGGGTACTCTACCAGATCATTCATTCACGCGTCTGAACTGGGGACCATGTGCACATGTGACCCTGGGGCTGGGAGCCGCTCTCGGCCAGTCCATGGAGTGAACAGTCCCTTCTCATCCCTTCGATAATTTACCGAGCACAAAGAGAAACTGCCATGTTCACTTTTCTTTTCCAGCCGATCTGTTCGATATTTTGCTCCCCATGTTGAACATTTATCAAGAATTTGTGCGTAACCACCAGTACAGCCTCCAAGTGCTTGCCAATTGCAAACAAAACAGAGATTTTGACAAACTCTTAAAGCAGTATGAAGCCAACCCTGCCTGTGAGGGTAGGATGCTGGAAACATTCCTGACCTATCCAATGTTTCAGGTACGTCATCTAGGACGCATTGTATAAGTCACTGACGGCAGTCTGGTTGGTGCTGATACCTCGGGTGACCAGAGCAAGGTGTGCAAGGGTGCCCTGTGGGGAATTAGGGCCCAAGTGCATCATCTGTCATCTTGAGCATGACACTGAGATAAACAAATACAGGCCACACATTTTCTGTCTGTGTAGTACAGGGAGGAAAGGCAGGCTTTTTTTTTTTTTTTTTTTTTAAACCAGGCATTTTGGAAGCAATTAAATCAGGAAGGGTTTTTTGCAAAGTGGCACAATTTTCTCTTTACAGAAAGATTCCACACAGACTTCTTCCATGGAGGCACCTCCTCCAGCATGTTTAAAAATATTACTGGGTTTACAGAAATAGGACACTGTGCAAAACTTTTAGTATCTGCTGGTTGCGTAAAAGACGCCTGAGGGGTGGAGGGCTGCAGGGAGAGGCTTTGTTTTCCTGCCTAGACTCTCCGCCCTGTTCCGGTGGCTGTCGAAGCTGGTCTGGAGCTGGTCTGGAGCTCTGCGGAGCTACAGGAGGATGTGCCTGGTCACGGGCTGTGGACACACAGCATCTGGAGGCACTGACTGGACTGGGGGACTCTTGGCCCCTAGTTGGGTTGCTGCACTGAGGCTGGAGCTTGTCGCACCCCGAGGGCTTAGGCACACTTGTGTTCTTGCCTGTATCTAGGGCTTTCCCCCTAAGAGCCCTTGAATTAGGACCGCAGAGGCCAAAATGTGGATTGAAGCTCCTGCTCTTTTGAAAAGTGTTGATTCTGTTCTTTTGGACAGGCATCGAGTGTTCTCGTTGTGGAATTTATGGGGCTTCTGGCCAGGTCCCCAGACTGTCATGTGGTAAACCGATTCTCTCAATCATGTGTCAGGGCTTCTGCGGACAGCTTCTCCCCCCTTGGACAGGCATCGCTGACCCCGGCCGATCATCTTGGAGCCTTAGGAAGAAATGTTGCTCTGGTTCATGGTTGATGGTCCTAGAGTTTGTCTCTCCTGCTTGAAATCTTGGCAGCCACCACAGAGGTTTAGTAAGATTTTTAAAAACTAAAAGGATGCATCTGAAACAACTTAAATAGAGTGAAACTGTATAATGTTATTGTGTTCTTTCATGGGACAGAGTTGTTTGAACTCTTTGCCCCTCTGAGGAAATATTTTGCTAGAAAAACTTCAGCACAAAAAAACAAGTTGTTGTTTTTTTTAACCTTATAAAAATTGTAATTTAAGCTTTTACTTATAGTGATACAAACTTTATATGGTACAATGTTCTGAGATTCTGTTTGAGTTGTTGGCAGTTACCTTTATGATTAAATACCCCAAATTGTATCTTTTTGGCAACTTCATCTCAGGTGAATATTCAAAGGGAGAGTTATGAAAGTCACATGGAACATTCAGGGAGGTACCTGGCTCCCTTTCTGACAGCCCCGTTATGTCTTCCCGAACCCTATTTAATTTCCTCTCGGTGTCATTTTCTCAGTGTTTTAAAATGGCGCAACTGCACTTGCACGTTAGGAGAGGTGACCAAACACAGTAGACTGTAGGTCCTTGGAAAGCCCTTCAGATCCTCTTACAAAGGCTGAGATACTCTCCTACCACCCGCCCTCCTTTGCCCTGGAGTATAAGCCCCGTAAGAATAGCTTGGTATTTTCATTGATTCCAAGGAATTCCCATAATGCAGGAAAGGACCATTGGACTGAGAATCTTTAGGAGACTTGGATCTCTTGCTCACTCTTCAGTTGTACCATTGAGGAAAATAATTGAACCATCTAAATCTTGGTTTCTTACTCTTAAAATTGAGGCACCTGAGCTCTAGTCATCTCCCATCTGACTCTGTGATCCTAGGGGGACTGTATCAGTTCTGGAAGTTTGGGTAACTATGTGGCACTGCAAGGAGCCTGGTGTTTGCCTAAGAACTCTTACCCCAAGACTGCGGTGGCCCCAAACCCTAGAATTTAGATGAAGGGTCAGATGTTGAGATTCTCTAGCTTCTTCCAGACCAAAGGCACTGGTTATGAGAGCCATTGTTCTGGGAGAAACCTCAAACTTGATTTTAGCTAGAGTTTGTCCAAACTGCAAGAAATGTACAAATTGAAAGAACATGGAATTGTGCTGTTTATTTGCTTCCCTATAACTATTTTGAACAGAGCAAGAGGGAAAACCATCAGAATTTGCTCCTAAAAGCCTCATTCTCCTTGGATGTCTCTTCTCTGTCTTATTGGCTTGGTGTCTCTTCTTCCTGCCTTCTCCGTAGGAGTGACCCTATGGGACACTTGGGGGAAAATTGCCCTTTCTAATAGCTTGAAGGTTTTCTCTCACTAGATTCAATCTGTCCTTCTTGTTCCTTTTGGGTTCTTTCACAAATGAGTCATGGAAGCGTTGGATCCCTCAGAGGGTCTAACTGTTGCTACTTCCCCCTGCGTGCCTGTGCCATGGTTACGTCGCCACCTCCACCTTGCTCTAGTGGAGGCCAGAGGCGGAGGCACTACGGTTCTTTTGGTATAAGGCAGCAGTGGAGGAGCCTGACCCGCCAAGGGCCCTCTGGCCGGACTTCTTGAGTCTAGACATGGTGGCAGAGATTGGTGTGGGTACAGGGGAGAGCCAATTGGCAGTCTTTATATTTAGAAGAGAAAAGTGTGGGGCACCTGGGTGACTCAGTCGTTAAGCATCTGCCTTTGGCTCAGGTCATGATCCCAGGGTCCTGGGATTGAGCCCTGCATCTGGCTCCCTGCTCTGCGGGAAACCTGCTCGTCCCTCTCCCACTCCCTGTGCTTGTGTTCCCTCTCTTATAGTCTCTCTCTCTCTCTCTGCCAAATAAATAAATAAAATATTAAAAAAAAAAAAGGAAGAAGAGAAAAGTGTGATTTCTGGTCTCTCTGTCAAGTCCATTGCTGCTGTTAATGTCCTATGTTGAGCTATAGAAGCATGGAGGAAATGTAGAATTTGGATGATAGTTCAGTTTGTCCTCAATTGAACTATCAGACCAGTAAGTCCAAGTGTTGCCAAGAAAAAAATTTGTTATGGAAGATAATGTAGTCACTAATATAATTTTTTAATTAGCAAAAACAGTGGCTTAATGGGTACTGCTTAAATTGGCTTCAGCTGCTCATAAGCCCATTGGGAAGCCGATCACGCAGTCTGCCTCCGACGAGGACAGTGCTATGAGATGTTCTCCAGAAAGTAGCCACTTGCAGCTCTGGCCACCTAGTCCCTGTCATCGGAGAGCAAGCTAATTAATGTCTACAAAGTGACAAGTATTGTTCCGTCGCTAAAAGGAGAATCAAGATTCGTCTGGAGTGCACTTAATGTGATTCTTGGTTTCTGGTGGGGAACGGATTTCTAATCGATTCTTGAATATACACATGAGCTCTGTGGAGAGTTGTCCACTTCTCTGCAGAACATCCTCGCCTGGCTTTTTAGCAGCTTCAGGCATGTTTGTTCCTCCACCAGAAAGGAGAAAGGGCCAGTCTCTGAATTTCAAATCCATCTACTTGAATCTTAGCCAAGGAGCTCTCTAAAATAGATTTAATTAACGGGGGAAGATCATGAAGCTATTGACTAAACTTAGTTTTGTGGGTTTTCAGTGCCTGCATTGTAAGTGTCAGGCTCTCCCACTCCTGCCTTCTTTGTTATGAAAAATGTAGTGCATTATTAGCTGTTGATTGCCTGGATTTTCTTGGAGGACTGCTGACTTAGAAGCAAACTGGTATCCATCATGGCGTTGTGCAGAAGAGATTTGTGAAAGTCTACGTATCCCGGGGGCCTTTACCGGGGAAGGTTTTATGGAATGGAGAGACAGAAAGGGTCCTCCCCATGCTGTACAGGGGGAGGGATCTCCCTCCTCTATGGAGTCCATCTGTGCTTCCAAAACCTTGATGTGATGACATCCCCTAGGATGCAGTCCCAGAGTATCAGGGCAGATCCATGTCTGTGCTGATGGCACTGCCCTTTGTGCTCATGCATAAATATGGGCCTTCAGCTGACGATATTGAGTAACCCGGTGAAGGCCACCACCTGCACGAGAGCAAAAGCAGACCTATGGATTGAGCTGCCAACACCTCGGGACAAGATGGAAGGCGCTAGCCACAGCACTTTGGGAGGCTATGTTACTTCCTTCATTCTCAGAAGTTCTTTCAAGGGCCCACCCGGTGAGACGCCAGGCCCCACAGAAGAGACCCAACGGGCTTGTGTACCAGTGAGAGCCATGATGATGGCTGGCTCTGGCATTGACTGTGAGACCACCTTGGGCAAATTACCGGACCCAAAGCTGCACAGTTTGTTTCCACCTTTTCTCTATAAAATGGGGAAATAACCCTTATGTTGCTGTGAAGATTTGGGTTGCCCCCTCCAACCTGGAGCTCCAATCTGACCCATAGTGGGCAGTGTTACAGTACCTGCTGTTCGAGCATGTTATTTTTTTTTTTAAGATTTTATTTATTATTTATTTATTTATTTATTTATTTGACAGAGAGAGAGAGGGTCACAAATAGGCAGAGCAGCAGGCAGAGAGCGAGGGGGAAGCAGGTTCCCTGCAGAGCAGAGAACCTGATGTGGGGCTCAATCTCAGGACCCTGAGATCATGACCTGAGTCGGAGGCAGAGGCTTAACCCACTGAGCCACCCAGGTGCCCCAAGCATGTTGTTATTAAAATTAATCCCACTGCCCCGGTTTTCTAAGAAATTTTAGTATGTAAGCCAGTAGAAAATGAATATGTAGGATCGCTATGAGTTGTGTTATATCTCTATGAGTTCTGTTAAAACCTTCATAGGGCTGGTGGAGTTTCTGCTTTTGACAGAATTCAGATAGTTTATCCAGAAACAAAAGTATAAGTAAATAATGTAATTAAACCACATTTTTACTGCTAGAAGGATGAGTTAAGGTAAAGTAGGATGAGAATGTGATAAAAGTGAATATATCTTCTCTCAAGTTTTTATTCTTCAAGAGAACATTGCAGTAGGATTGTGAATTTAAAAACAAAAATTGTGGGGTTGCCTGGATGGCTCAATCAGTTAAGCATCTGACTTTGGTTTAGGTTATGATCTTAGGGTCTTGGGATTGAGCCCCATGTGGGGCTCCCTGCTCAGCCGGGAGTCTGCTTGTCCCTCTCTCTCTTTCTCTGTCTGTCCCTCCTCCCACTCATGCTCTCTCTCTCTCTCCAGTAAAAAAAATCATGAACAAATATATCTAAAATAAAGCTTGCGTGACTTGATAAGCAGTGCATGTTTCCCTATGAACCAATTTTCAAATCTTACGATTAAGAAATATATGACTATATTTAAAAAAACTAAAGAAACAAGTGTTTCTTTGGAACACAATGTTTTGTCACTCTTCTCTAGTGTTCTTGATGAATGTGTGTTTGTGTATGTGTGTGAAGTTTGAAGCATAGTTCGTTTCAAAACTGTAGAAGTAGAGATGCGCTTCTCCTACATGTTGATGGCCCAGGAGAGAACGTCCCAGGGCTGCTCATCCTGACCTCTTGCTCATGCTGGCCCTTATTTACGTTTAGATCCCTAGGTATATCATCACACTTCATGAACTCCTCGCTCATACACCCCACGAGCATGTGGAAAGGAAAAGTCTGGAGTTTGCTAAATCAAAACTAGAGGAACTGTCCAGGTATGTGGAGAACGTATGATAAAGGCTTGTTTCAAGAAAGCAGCACACTAGTCTCTGTGGAAATCTACTATATATATATATATGTCTAGGGAACAAGAAGCAAGACACAGTCCAGCTTCTCAGGTTCGCCTGAATGTGAAACGCTAGCCCTTCAGATGGTGCTGAATCAATATACACATTAATTTTAACCAAGAGTAAAATACACCTTTGAAAATGTTTTTATAGCATGTGGGTTTATGTAATTGAGATTATAGGTGCATTTGGATTTAAGTTAGAAAATGTTAACATTTCTCTTTGCATAATAGGAGAATGATTTTTAGTTGTGTCTTTGTGTTTATATTTGGCAAGAAGCTAGAGAATGTGTATTTTGGATTTTTTATGACTTTTCACTGTTTCAGTGAATTATTTACATCTGTGTTCCTTTAGCTTATATGGAATAAATAGTATAGAGTTCTCTAATTTATTCCACCTCTAGGAAATGGCATTATAATTTCAGTGAAGGGAGGTGTTCATAAAATAATGGGTTGCTTTCCTGTTGCATTTATAGATCTTATTTATTTATTTGACAGAGAACACAAGTAGGCAGAGAGGCAGGCAGAGAGAGAGGAGGAAACAGGCTCCCTGCTGAGCAGAGAGCCCGATGCGGGCCTCGATCCCAGGACCCTGAGATCATGACCTGAGCCGAAGGCAGTGGCTTTAACCCACTGAGCCACCCAGGCGCCCCTCCTGTTGCATTTATAAGCAGCATCCCCAGGGTCCTCATTGGTCGCTGGCCCACTTGTCATTTTGAACCATAATGTACATTTGCTTTGGTCTGAGTCGTGGCTGCTTGAAGCCTAGAGGTCTGCTCTCCCCACAGCCCTAGTCACGCTGATCCAAGTTCAAAACTGAGCTTCCCAGGTAGCGCTCTTTGCATACTGGCTCAGGCTATAGAAAATCTCTCTCCCTGTGGTCTGTCCGTGCTGTGTCTTGACAGGATAATGCACGATGAAGTGAGCGACACTGAAAACATAAGGAAGAACCTTGCCATAGAAAGAATGATCGTAGAGGGCTGTGATATTTTGCTGGACACCAGCCAGACTTTCATCCGCCAAGGTAAGTCCTCGTTCGGTGGGCCCGTGGTCTTGGCGATGTCTCTGACTGTCACATTATCACCGGCAGATCCCAGAAGGCATTTTGGAGCAGGCTTAACGTAGCTGTGCGATTGATGCTGTCCACACAGGACAGCCCCATGGCCTTGACCGAGGCTGTGGTTGAGGCCCACCTTTGTGCTGTTTCTTTTCAGGGGCCATGAAAAACAGCAACACAATAATAGTAAAGCACGAGTGGGACAGTAAATTACATTCTGACTGGACTCTCCTCCTCAGTGGACCAGACATTCTCTACAGCTCCAAGGAGGACAGCTCGGTCTGGCCGATGAGAGTGGCAGTGTCGGGTGGCGACGATATGCAGGCCAAGGCCCAAGAGAAACTTGCGTTACTCAAAGCCCTCTCACATAGCGGTGGGGACAAGGTCCGAAGTGAACACAGCTGTCTCTTGTTCCCTTTCTTCATCAGCACTTCTGGATCAGCCCCACATGATATGATTTGATCCCCTTGGCAACTCTAGTTGCCCAGGGAAATGTCTCTTGACCCCTGCCAGGCTTGGGTGACGGTGAATGTGTCTTGTCTGTGGGATGGGTGCTTTGCCAGCATCACTTAGTATACGAAGCTTCTGAAATGTTGACACAGTGGAGAAGCAGCAGCCTCGCAGCGCGTCTCCCTTCATGGCCTGGAACCTCATCCTAAGTCCCTTTTCGTTGCTCAGGTGTTCAGAGGGAAGGGAGCATGCCCCATGGAGTTGGTTTGTGATGATACGTTGCGCACATTTATAACTTAGAACTTGGTGGCGTATACCTTTAGAACTAGGATTAACCTTTAATGTGTTTTCTGTTTCTAATGTGCCAATATCGCTTGAAGATATTTGCATTTCCGTTGCCTACCAAAATGTGCTGCTTAGCATTTTTTTTTAACCTCATCAAACAAGACATTGTTTGAGCTGCAAACATACATTTTTTGCACAGAATACTTGAAAAAATGTAACGCGTGCTGTTCTGTTTTCCATGATTTATTTACAGAGAGAGAAATGACACATATGTTAACGTTTGGAAGTATATTTTAGGAAATGATAACTTTTCTCATTTTGATAGTGATTTTTCTTTAAATCTAGTGGAATATAATGCTAAAAAACATCAGGCCTTCCTGACCCCCTCTGTTCCTCCGCACAGAGTGTGTCCACACATGGCTTCCTGCCTTCCTGGCCCTTGCCTGGCTCTGTGCCTTCCCATGCGCTGTCCCCAGCCTGGGGACGGGGACTGCCCTTATCCATCCCTTCTGTGCCTATCAAAGTTTGGCTTGTCCTTCCAGGCTCAGGTCAGACTCCTCTAGGGAGCCTTTTATGATTTTCTTCTAATCTTACTCTCCCCTTCCCTCCAGTTAGAATGAATTTACCTTCCTCCTCGTTTTGAGGCCCCTCCCTCCTCACGCATGGGTTTCATCCTCTTGTTTATTACAGGTAAACGTTGGCATGCTTGTCACTCCCAGCCATTGTAACTCTGGAGGGCTGTGTTTATGAATCTCTCCTGCCTTATATGCTGCTTTCCATTATACATACCTGAAAGACGGGCATTGGAGTAAATTGAATTGCTTGTTGAATTGCAGTTTTGGTTGTTAGATGTCTTTTTTTGTATTTTTCTTGTATTTGGAGTTCGTGAAAAAAATACTAATTGACTAGAGCTTTATAATACATGAGAATGCAAACAAATGTTTCTGTAACTAGTATTTTATTTCTGAAAGGTCTTTTGATTGAAAAGTAGTATTATGCATAAATATTTATTTCTACCAACTTAGACTGCTCTTGTCTAAGTTTGAAAAAAGACATCTCTAATGAAAAATGCTAGAAGGCTGAGTATATTGATAAGTCTTTTTTTTTTCAATGCACCTGGAGGAAAAGCACTCATGAGCTGCCTCTCCCTTTGATTCCTGTCCAGATGTTATTGGTTGCCTGTTTATGCCCCCTGTTTAAAGCACTTCTGTCAGCTATTAAGATATCTAATGTTATTATTGTATTGATGTTGTATAATGATTTGTCTTTACAGTATTTTTCTGTATTTGGCTGGTTAGTGTGTTTAGGAATTATTCAATAAAGTTGGTTTTAAAAAACCAAACCTGAATCTGAAAGTAGAAAGGAATCCAATTTTACATAATTTGGGAAGTGTACATTGCTTTGCTTTGGTTGTTCCTGTTATCACTTCTCCTAAATACCCTTAACAGACTTTAAGAAACCCAGTAAGGTGGGTCTCTTATCCTTTTAAACTTTGAAGGATTCTATTTTTTTTTTTTTTTAAAGGGACTACCACTTAGCTCTAATTGTCCACTGGTATTTGTGTTATATACTTTTAGGGATGGTATGTGGTACGTTTCAGTGTGTGTGTGTGTGTGTATGTGTGTGGGGGGGGTGCGTGGACAAATATATGTGTAGTTTCGATCTTAAATGAATTCTTGTTCTGAGGACTAGAAAAAAGAGGCCATCAAGGTCATCCAAAAGACCTCCTTGGGATAGGGGCATCAGCTAATCTCAACTGTCAATCTGTGGGAATTTACTGATTGAAATATCAGAAGCTCTACTGTAAATTGTTTCTAATTATTAAACAGTTGATGAGCAGGATGGAAAGGACTATATCGTATTGTGGTCAGATAATGTCATTTATTTTCTAAAATCTACTCAAAGTTTGTTGAACTAAAGTGTAAGAGTCCGAAACAATAATAGGGAGGCAGTGTAACTATGTCGCTGGAGGTCAAATCCTGCCTCCTACTTCTGTGCTGTAGGATACTGGGCAATTTACTTAACTTTCCTTTGCCTCAGTTTGCTCTCCTTACATTGGAGTTAATAGTACCCAGCTTTTAGGGATGTGGTGAGGATTACATGAACTAATGGGACTCCAAGAGCATCTATCTAGACTAGTGCCTGTGAGAGTATGACGTAAATTTAAAAACCAAGATCTAAATTTTGGAATGAGTTTCTGTTTTTCAATAACATAAAATAGATATGAATATTCAGTAGACGATAAGGTGCTCTAAATTGACATTTTGCACTAAACCCATTATGCATAGTCAACGTCTTGTGGAAATGTGAATCAGGATCCTTAAGTGAAGGTGACCAAGTTCAGAGCTAAATGCTTTGAGAATGAGACCTGGACCTCTGTGGTATCTTAATCATTCCCAGACTGGAAATTATGTCCTTTCAGTATAGCAGTGTTCTTTGGAATTATAATATGGGGTCTGGAAATAATTGTATCTTCTCAAATACCTAACCAAATAACCTGGAAATGGCTCTTTGTTGCTTCTCAGTACTGAGTAGAATGAAGAATAAGGTCATTACCCAGTCTTGAATGCCACTCTTTTGGAATTAGTGATTGAATTAACAGAAGCTCTGTTGTAAATTGCCCCAATTATTAGGTTGACCAAGGATAGAGATGCAAGAGACTGTGTTGCAGCAATGGCCTGTTATTGAGGAATTACTAATTTAATACTAAGTATTCCTTTAATTTGTATTAACTAGAGAGGGATCTCCAAGTCTTATAGTTGTGTTGAAATACCAGGTCAAACTTAAAATGAAATATGAAAAAAAAAAATAGCCACCTAACGTGTTTTTTCCCTGATGATTATTTTATAAACCAAATAATGGTGTTGAAATTGCTCACTTTTTATACTGATGTATAGACTTCTGTATATACCTAATGTAGATAGCGAGATGAACAGTTACAGATCAAGCAGATTAGCATATAGTTACCAAGGAAACATTTATTTTTTTTTTTACCTGAAAGGTGAAAATAACAGTATTACTAGTATATGAGCTAACAGTGTATTCTGTAATTTCTGTTTAACAAAATCATTAAATGCTAGAAGCGCTTAACAACACACGGTATTAAGTCTTAATGAACTTGGCTTATAACCTTTCTGAAAACGACTCCTACACCTGTTTATCCACCAGGATATTTTTCTTAAGGTCCAGGCTTTCACTCTGCCCTAAATGATCTCACCACCACTCATGGCAAAGCTAGAGTGTACTGTCTTCCCTCTGATCCCTTTCCAAGGATCAGCTTTAATGTTGCTGAATCCGCCACTGTCTCCTGGTGGTGCCACTCACTCTGGTGTGATCTTAAGAGAGCTGCTTAGCCCCTTGGGCCTCAGTTTCCCCTTCTTTTGAATGAGGGACAAACCAGGTCCTCTGAAAGAGCTCCTCTGCCTTTCATTCCAGCTCCTGAGCCCCATGAGTACTATCTTTCTGCTATTACTCACTCATTTACTACTCTAGGCATTCTGCCTTCTGCTCTGCACACCCCCCCTCCCCCCGCCTTTACTCTTGAAATTTAATTACTTGCTGCCTGCACTCTCTGACAGCTTCCTCCCACTTGCCTCACCTCCTCCTTTCCCTTTCCCCTAGCCCATTCCCTTCAATGGAATCAAGCCTTCTCCTGCCCCGTGTTCCCCAGTCCCACACCCTCCCCCAGGACTCCTTCTGTGCTATTCTTTGCCCCACCCCGCAATAGCTGCCTACTTTGTCTCTGTCAGGCAGCCCCACCTAAGCACTCACCTGAATAGATGGAATCTGCTCCTGGAGGCTTGGGTCCACCCCACCCCCCCCACCCCACCCCTGCCCCACCCTGCCACTTCTTCACCCTCCCCCAACCCCCCCCCACTTCTTTAGATCTCTGTTAAAGTAGATGATATTTGAAATATTCATATGCTAATGTGAACATTTTGTGACCCACAGTCATAGTTTTACCATTTAACATATATGAACCATTTTAGTGGGGTTTTCACCACTTATGAAAGTAATCTGTGCTCATTAAAAAGAAATAAAGAAGTGCAGAAAATGTATGAGGTGGAAACGAGGTTGCCTGCAATCTTGTTTTTTAGTGCTGACTCCTGTTAATAGTAAAGGCTTGGATATGCATTTAATGGTTCTTATGAGACTGATATGTGCCTTTGTAAGGCTGCATTTAGGGTAGGTGGTAGATTGAACAAATAGTAGAAATATTGCTGACTCAAGGTAGTTCAGAAGTCAAGGTATTTACAAGAATCTTTCCTAGTACTTTTTGGTTTGATATCTAACTTAGATTGGAATTTTATTTTGTGGGGAGAGGAGGTCATTATTAGGGTGAAATTATAAAGTATCTGTATAGCTTCTCACATTGAATGGAAGACAGGTTTGCTCACAGGAATGCTCTGGTATAGACTTTATGACTCTAAAGTTTCCATAGATTCCACAAAGTTTTTTTCTCACACTTTATTTGTTTATTAATATTTTATTTGAGAGAGAGAAAGAGCGCACATGAGAGCCCAAGGGGGGAGGAGCAAAGAGAGAGAGAGAACCCAAGCAGTCCCTGCACTTAACACAGAGCCTGTGTGGGGCTTGATCCCTCAACTAAGGTCATGGCCTGAGCTGAAATTAAAGTCAGACACCGAGCCAACTGAGCCACCCAGGCGCCCCATCACACATAATTTAAATATAACCTGAAACAGCTGCCCTTTAAAAATTTAACTAAATTGCATTGAATTATATAATCTGTGTATCTTTATGATATACCTGCATTGTAAATTTTATTTTTTAAATACAAGGTAAACTCTACTAATATGCTCCTTGTCTACCTTCCTGACTTCAGGAAGAATAAATTCTATTTTCTTCTTATTATGTTGTTATTATTATCATGTGTAATTATACAGTATTATCTTATTCTTTTTTTTTTTTAAGATTTTATTTATTCATTTGACAGATCACGAGTAGGCAGAGAGGTAGGCAGAGAGAGAGGGGGGAAGCAGGCTCCTTGCTGAGCAGAGAGCCCGATGTGGGGCTCGATGTGGGGCTTGATCCCAGGACCCTGAGATCATGACCTGAGCTGAAGGCAGAGGCTTAACCCACTGAGCCACACAGGTGCCCTTATATCTTATTCTTAAGTAAATAAATGAACTGAGATCGGATCACCAAGGGATAGATGGAAGAAGTGCCTTGTTTGAGTTCCAGTTTGGCTTTCTTTCTAACTTATTTTAAAGCTTATAGATGAATAATCAAGTCTGAGGTGTTTTACAAAAGTCATAGGGATTACTTGGACCCTTAAAACCTGGTTCCTTGTCTCTTCCGCTCTGAGCGTGGTGGGGGTTTACTTCCAGTGGTGCCTCAAGTAAGTCCTTGGTATCTTGGGAAACAGGCCCTAGAGTGTGTTGCATCAAGAATAGCTCTCACTTGACAGAATTTTAATTGCTGTGTATTCTTCACTTTTGTGATCACCAGGTTCTCTTATTCAAGTACCTTCTGTTGAGAGGGGGAAACTTAGTAAAGTTCGCCTGGGTTCATTGTCTTTGAAAAAGGAAGGAGAAAGACAGTGCTTCTTATTTACAAAACACTTTTTAATTTGTACGAGAAGCTCAGGAGGAAAGCTCCATCTGCTGAAGGTATGGGTTTATGTGACTATTCCACTTCAAAATGTCCATGCACTTGAGAGGCACAGAGGTTAATTTAATTATGGCTTCCCCATGCCTGGTATCCTAAAACCCACATTGTCACAGGTGCATAGCGAGACACTGTGCAGTTGCTAAGCTTGACATGCACTTTGTTGTCAATTTTACCCAAAATGATAGAAATTTAAGTGTGTATTTTCATAAAGAAGTGCAATTAAAGTCATCACCTGGAAAGAATGATTACTATTGAGCTACAAAAATCCTGTTAAATCACTACAGTGTACTGACCTAATATTTGCTAACTGCTATTTTACCTTGCTTTATCAGCAAACCACGACCCATAGCCCACTCCCTGTTAATAAAGATTTATTGTCACACAGCTCCGTTCCGGTGTTTACATATTGTCGGCAGCTCCCATGCTTTTTAAAATGGCAGATTTGAGTAGCTGCAGTAGAGATCATATGGCTTGGAAAGCCTCAAAGATTTACTGTCTGGCTCCTTATAGGGAAAGTTTGCCGATCTGTACCTTCTGTTGGTAGTGTCTGACTTCTTACCCGGCGCCATGATGATGGCTTTCCACCGCGTGCAGCGCTTCCCGGTGGGTGGGCTCAGTTGCACTCACTCTCAAGGTGCCAACTGGTCTCCCACAGACCGACTTGCTCAATTTATAAAACACCGGCAGTGAGAGTGGGTTGGGGGAGAAGAATCATGAGGTTCAGTGAGTGTCATTACTTTAACACAACCAAATTTAGTTTTGGAATCTATGAGAAATTATTTCTGATGCAGAACTCTTGTGGTTTCTTCTGTGGCAGTTTGAATCAAAGGTTTATAAATCTGAGCTTCCCAACGTATGCAGGACTGTCAGCCTCTTAATGAAAAATTGGTTTGTTTCCAGACAGGTGGGGTTCTCTCTCTCATAGAATGTACGTTGATTGAGGAGCCCGATGCGAGTGATGATGACTGTAAGTCACATTCTTTCTCTTAGAATTATGGTAGAATAACAACGTTTTGTAGCTAAGAAGGGCTGTTGAGGAGACAGGGAAGATGTTGAGAATATGCTCCCTGAAGTCATTTCTACACGAAGAGTTCTGTTGAATCATTTAACCTGTGAACTTTGTAAAACCATCCTTAGGAGTTCATATTTTACTGAATTTGTCTCATTTTTCACTGGCAGACAGAGAAGAAAGGAATTGAACTAGAGAGAGTTGGAATTCTGTATATTATGGAAATTTTTTTAAAAAGGAAAGAAAACGGGAAATGAGTAGGAACCCGGGATCTTAGTCCTGAGGAACGGGCTGACTTCAGCTTCCTTATCTACTTCGGAGCTTAGTAAGGGGTTCCCCTTGCCCGAGAAGTACTATGTTGCTGAAATGAGATTCTGGATTTGAACACACATCGATCCTCTTACTAGAACTCTGTGAAAGTGGCTATCACCCGTATTTTTGTATTCACATCTAATTGTTTGCTTTGCATGTGTTGAAGCCAAAGGTTCTGGGCAAGTATTTGGACATCTGGATTTTAAAATAGTAGTGGAGCCTCCTGATTCTGCCCCTTTCACTGTAGTCTTGTTAGCACCTTCACGCCAGGAGAAAGCTGCCTGGATGAGCGACATAAGTCAGGTAAGCAAGTGGCATTTGCTGCAAGTTGTATTGTTTTTTAATTTCACCATATAAATTGGGGGGGGGGCAGATTTTTAGTTATTTTGTTTTTATTAAAAAATTTACTTCTGGTTGCTGTGCTCACTGCCATCACCCCTGTGTATCTTGTTAGCTGGGACCATTTGTTATTGTTGTTTGTTTTTCTTTGTAAGGTTGAAATTTTCCTGAAATGTGGCACTTGCTTGTTAATTCCTGGGCATTTTTGTACAGGCTGTAAGTGTGATCAGTTGTGTTAAAATTGCCCTATTAGTAATAAATTCTCCAGTGACCCCCATTAGATCATCTTTGGCTTACTTGTTCCTGAGGTAGGAAAATGGTGAGAGATACAAAAGCAGCTAATTTGTGAGAAGTCACAAATTAAAGAATCATATCAAAGAAGAGAGACTGTCTGTAGTAGGAAACCTGAAAATGAGCTTTCCTGTATTTTATATGGAAAGAAGGTAGGAAACAGATTTGTTTACTTTTCCTTGATCAACAATGCCCAGTGAAGGAATTGCTGCATGTATTCAGAAATTGGAAATATGTCAAAACTAGTTGTGATTGGGCTTAGTTGTTCCTAAATTGAAGTTCCACATTAATTTTTACTCCATTAGCCAATATAGGAGAAAAATGTTCATGTAAGGCAAATATTAAAAGAAGACTTGGTCATTATTTTCTGTTATTAACTCAAGGAAGATAGGGGCAAATGGATAAACCATATACTGTAGATTCAAATGCCTTCTTTTTTTCTGAAGAGCTCATAGTAATTTATATACAAAACTTAGGTAGAAATGTGAATTTCTTCTGAGTGACTGAAAACTGAGGAACAATAGACAATGGAGGGCAAAATAATTTTTTTATATGTCAAAAGAAATTTTATAGACTTAATCTCATTTGATCCTGACAATAGCATTCTGAAGGTAAAGAGAAGTATCAGCCCATTTCACAGGTGAGGAACCTGAGGTTTGGAAGGCTAAGTGTCCAAAGTTACACAACTGCTTTGAGTCAGGAGTCAAACTTAATCCAGGTCTTTTGTTAGCATTCTAAACATCCTCTACATTGGTGCTGGATTTTTGCCTGTATACCCCCAGGACTCCTCTTATGGTAAATAAATAGCTTGAAGAGAAGGCACCTCTTTTCCGGTCAAAAAAAGAAAGAAAATGGGGGATCTTCTGTATTTGCATAATTATATCCATGTGGTGATTTATTAATCCTTTCATTAGCCCTGTGCTGTATGACTTAATACTTTAGTCTCTGTTTGTAATACATCTCTTCCCTTATGAAACTCTGCATCAGTCACTGGTTCTATGAATGTATGTTGAGCAATCAGCATGTAGTGCCAGGTATCACGTGGGTATCAGGGATACAGCGATGATTCCTGGTCCCAAAGAGCTAGGCAGACCAATAGGGAAGAAAGGTCGGTGGACAACTTAACGCAACAAAATTTGGCAGGTGTTGTGAAGCCAAGATAAGTAGAAAGGATGGCGAGAAAAGGAGGAGGCAAAGGTGTTTTTCTAGCTGCTTCTAGCTTCTACCTCGTTGCACAACTGGGGCTCCTAAGATACAGAATTGATAAAAGCCCCAAACCTTCATTAGCATGCCTGGAGACGCATTTTTACGAAGGAAGAACCCTTGGGTGCATGGATGATCCTATAACTGTTTTTTTTAAAGAAAGGTTACAATGCTTTGTCTGCCATAAGCATTGAAGTGGGTCTTCCCACTTAGGCTCCATCTTGAGGCAGAAGTATACAACTTCTTCATATTTTTACCTGAGTCTCTATGGCTAATATGTTAAATTCTTCTAGACTGTATCTACAAGTGAACTGGAGAATAAGGCTAATAGAAAGTTCTGTCTTTTTGAGTGACAATGATATAATTCATGAAATTACTATGTTTGATGGAACCTTGATGTTGTGTGGCTTTAACATATATTATTTCATTCATTCAACAAATATATTTATGCAGTGATAGTATATGCCAGGCACTGCTTAGACACCTGTGATACATCATGAACAAAAGAGGTAACAACAACAAATTCTCTGCCTTTTGACCTTACATTCTAGCCAGAGGGATTTTGAAAATAAACAATAAATGTAATAAGTAAGTACCCACTCTTTTAGGCTAGAAGGGGATAGGACAGGGTAGGAAAGGTGGCGCTACTGGGGGTAGGTGTGGGTCAGTACACTTTTTAAAGATTTTATCTATTTACTTGAGAGAGAGTAAGAGAGCATGAGAGGAGAGAACCAGACTCCCTGCTGAGCACAGAGCCCGATGTAGGACTTGATCCCAGGACCCCGAAATCATGACCCGAGCCGAAGGCAGTTGCTTAACTAACTGAGCCTCCCAGGTGCCCCCAGTACACTTTATTTATTTATTTATTTATTTATTTATTTATTTATTATTTTTTTATAAAGATTTTCTTTATTTATTTGACAGAGAGATCACAAGCAGGCAGAGAGGCAGGCAGAGAGAGAGAGGAGGAAGCAGGTTTCCTGCTGAGCAGAGAGCCCGATGCGGGGCTCGATCCCAGGACTCCGAGATCATGACCTGAGCCGAAGGCAGCGGCTTAACCCACTGAGCCACCCAGGCGCCCCCCCAGTACACTTTTTAAAACGGTGGTCCCCTCAGGCTGCAGGAGACCTCTGAACAGACACTGTAGCAGGTGATGGAAATACCATGTAGATATGTGATGAAGGGAAAGTCATTTCAGAGAAAGGGAAGAGCCATTGTGAAGACTCTGAAGTAGGAAGACACTGCCTATTTTGAGGAATAGCATGATGTCAGTGTGGTTGAAGTGGAAGGTATGAGAGGGAGAATAGGAAGAGAGGAAGTCAGGGAGGTAACAGAGGTTCAACCGGTGGTGGGGTGGGTGCGTTGTGCCTTGGTACAAGCTTTAGCTTATACTCTGAGTCAGATGAAAAGCTGTTAAAGGGTTTGACAAAGGAATTTCATGATCTGAAGTAAGTTTTAAAGGGATCGCCTTGCCCGCTGTGTTGCACATAGAATGGGAGTGAAGGGCAAGAGTGGCAGCAGGAAGCTGAATGAGAAGCTGTTGGTGTAACCCAGCGAGAGTTCCTGAAGGCTCAGATCAGCATGGCAGGAATGGAACTGGAGATGAGGGTTGTGATTCTGGACTCGGTTTGAAGGGAGAGCCAACAGGGTTTTCTTATGGCTTTTCCTTGGGGTGTGAGAGATAAAGAAGAATCAAGGGTATCTTCAGAGTTTTTGTCCTGAGCCACTGAAGAATGGAGTTGTGATTAACAGAGGTTTGTGGTGAATGTCAGAAGCTTACTTTAGGTAGGTTCAGTTTCAGAAGGCTGTTAGACACATTTGCATGGAGTTGTGATATAAGAAACTCATTAATACTGAGTTGTTAAGTGAGCAGCAGTCCAGCATTTGGGGAGAGGTTCGGGTGAGAGAGTCTGTGTCATTTAGGTTGTGTTTAAGACTGTGAGAATATTGAGACCACCTAGGGAGTAAGTAGAGATAGAAATGAGAAAAGGGCCATGGACTGAGTTAGGAGTCGTGGAGAACAACAAGAGGACTGAGAAGGTTCCACTAGTGTGGTAGGACGGCCCTGAGGGTATGGTGTCTTGGAAGTCAAGTGAGGAAAATGTACCAAGAAGGATGGAGCGGTCACGTGTCTACTGCTACTAAGGGCTGAGTACCGTAGTGAGTGCTCTGAGGTTCTTAGCGATTTTACCAGTGCAGGGTTTGATTAGTGCTCCACTGTTGATTGAGCCTAGCCTGCCGCCTAGCAGCCTGCATCTCAACTGGCTTTGTTCTCTGCTCAAAGCATTTTCGTTTTATGGGGGACATTATGCGCTATACATACACTGATGGTTATTTGTCAGTCTCCCAGTGTGTCTGTGGACATATTCATTATTAATAAGATGAGCCCACTGAATGCTGGAAAATGTACTGTTTAATACTTTATTATGTATATGTAAAAATGTGGACATAAAAAGGAGCTAAAAATACTGTCAACATTCAGCCCACCAAATTAATATTTATCAAAGTATTTCCACAGATAACTGTGGTAGAATTGCCTGAGGGTTTTTGCAAACTCACAGGTTCCTGAATCTACGTTCCAGACAACTTCCCCCCACCCAGGTTTAACAAGCTCCACAGGTCACTTTAGCATAATTAAATAGGAGGACCTTTGCCCTGAAAATCAGTGGTTTCCACTTCTAAAACCTCCACAATCCTGCCATACAGAAATAATTTTGCAGTTTGCCTCCCAGTGTATATATACATCATTTTCATGTTTTACCTCATTTACATCTTCCTGTATTCCTGAGGATTCTTCATATTGGTGTCTTTGAGTGGCCACACACACGCGCGCACACAGCATCACATTAATATACCACTTTTCCACCTTTTCCCAAATAGTTGGATATATTCTAGGTTTTAGCGTTAACAAGTGTTGTGGTACTAAACATTGTTATACAGGGAGTTACTCTCCCTTTCAGGTCCCTATTGGCATATCTTCTCTACAGAAAGTAAGGTTGGTATAGAGGGTCTGGTAACTTCCATGACTTCATGATTCATGACTTGACAGACTGCCAAAGTGCAAGAAATCTGTGACTCATCATTTCACTACATCATCGGCAAAACATCTGTGCAACTTTTTTCTAAGTCCTGTGCCATTGTTGAGTTTTGTCGTATTTATCACATCTTCCTATCTCGTGGAAAAGTAGTGTGATTCTCTACTGATTTTAATTTATATTTCTATAATTATCAATGAGATTAATATTTTCTACCATTTCTCTTTCTTATCTGTTTATGCCAGATGGACATTGATTCATTGGCGCTATCCCTACAGACTAGGGAAATAAACATTTTCCTTCAAGTCATATTATGAATGTGTTCCCCATTACTTTGTCATTTTATTTTTGTCCCTCTATTTTGCTAGATCTTAATTTTTTTGTGACTTGATTTGAAGCCACCTGGCTAAATTATTGCACCATGTTACACTAATCACATATGACTCTTATTTAAAATAATAAAGTGGTTTCTGAATATTGATACAATCCCAGTTTCATATAAAAAGCTCAATACAAAAATTAAGACTGGTTTTGCCAGATCTCTTTCTCTGAAGCTGTAATTTTTAGAAGTAACAATTGCTTGAATGATTAATTACACCTTTAGTTACACCAGGAAGGCCATAATTAACTGTTGGCACCTCCAACAAAACGAACAAATAGCTAATGGTCTTGACCAATAATTCTTCCCTTTTCATCTATTTATAGGGAAAAATTTGAGGCTGAAGATTTGACCATTCATTTCAATATAGTGCATTCATTTACGCTTGTCTTCTTGTCATACATAATGGTGTACTAAACAGATTTTTCTGTAATTATGGGTATTAACTAAAATGCAGAATTAAAATTCACCTCTGAGCTTGGTTTGGGCAGATGTGTGAAAATGCACACCTTGTATAGACAAACCTATGACACTCTCACATGCTTTCTCCCTTAAAATAGCTCCTCTGGAATCAATAGGGAATTTTTTACTTTAACATGAAAGGTAAATTAAAAGAGAAAAATGGAATCTAACCTTTCTTCCCACTACTTAGAAATGTTAGAAGGTAAAAAGGGTAGTGGTAGATCACAGTAGACAAGTGGCCTTTGAACAGGTATGGCCTCAAGCAAGATCCTCAGAAGACCTTGCTGGAGCTGTCATTCTCAGCAATTGTCTAAGGGCCAGTTGCATCAAAATTACCTGGGGCTACTGTGAATATGCATGTTATTCTATTAATTCTATTCATTTCTTTTTTAAAGAAAGATTTATTTACTTATTTATTTGAGAGAGAGAGCTCGAGAGCGGGGAGGGTCAGAGGGAGAAGCAGGAGCAGGGAGCCCCGATGTGGGACTGAGTCCTGGGATTCCAGGATCATGACCTGGGCTGAAGGCAGTCGCTTAACCAACTGAGTCACCCAGGTGCCCTAATTCTATTAATTTCAAGGTTTGCTATAGTTCACATAAATTCGACATATGCTTAAAGATCTGTGACACCTTGCTTATCGTGGTCCTTCTTGAATGAGTGAGCTGCATATATTTTCCCAGGGCTCAGTCCAAAATTATTTCCCCAACATAACTAGAAGACAGGCTTATATGGTCCTGAGTATATATACCATGCCTTCCAATATAAATATATTCATACACTGATTATTATAGTGTGACTTTTTTATAGAAGAGAACTCTTTCTCCAGTGCAGTACATTGAAAGTCCCTAATGGAAGTGAGATACAAAAAGAATACTCTTCTTGAAGTAGAGCTAGTGACCCAGAGCCCCCAAGAGTTCTGTTTGTCAACCCATGTTGTCACTGGGGCCTGTGTGAGGAGCCTCTTGGAAATAAGAATTTTTATTACGTGGCCTTTGAGCTATGGCTCAGATTGCATGTAGGTTTTGATTTCCTGAAACTTGAGCATAAGTGAAAAATTTTTTTCTGTTGAAAATAATTTTAATGTTTCATACAGTAAATCAGGAAGAGTTATGAATGAGCTATGACACTGGATAATGAGATGGTCAAAAGTAATCACATAAATATCTTTTGGACCTAAAATATTTCTCTCAAGTTCCAATTCTGACAGTGCAGAGGACTGAGCCGATTTAGATCCCCTCTAGTTACAAAAACAGAAACGTTTAACATATGAAATCAGGATAATAAAAATTTTTTAATACGTTGGTGATATTTACAGATTGGTGATATTTTACAGAAATCTCTAGTTGTCAGAAATACTGAAGAAACTTAAAGTTAGAGCAGAAACCTTATAAGCTGATGACCTAGAGACCTAGGAATGATTTTAGGTTGAGTATTGGTTCCAAGCCTGAGAGGTTTTAACTAAGGGGACTGAGGTAGCCTTGGGCCCCTTAAGCCAATTAAGTTCCCTGTTTTAAGCCTGGATATTGGAAGGGTATCCCTTCTGTGAGATAAGAACTCAAAAAACTCTTCCCATTAGCCCCAAAAAGAAATAAGGAAGTTTGTCTTTGTCTTGGGTTCTGATTTTTTAAAAAAAATTCTCCTTTGAAAGAAATGAATGTGTTTCTGGCGTATGGATTTGAAATTTAAATGCATAATATTCACATGGTGTGAAAAATCCAAAGCAAGGAATTAACATAAAGGCAAATTTGGGGACTGTTGAAATCCCAAGACTGCTTGGTAGAAGCAAACACAAAAGTCACTCTGTTAGCAACACTTTACAATTCAGGCCTCATGATAGTGTGTTCAAAATCAAAAATTACAAATCTTATAAGTAACTTATCTATCATGAGAGAGTCAGAAGACACAGTGAACAGCAGAATTAATATTGTTAGAACCTCAGATAATAGGGTGACAACTTGGAAAAGACTGTAAAGTAAGAATATTTAAAATATATTAAAGCCAGAAAGAGAGAGGAAGGAAGGACAGAAGGGGAGGAGGAAGGAAGGGAGGAAGGAAGGAAAAGGAAAAGATTATTATGTAAAAAGGGCCAGGTTGATGTGTCAAAGAACCAAATAGAAAGTCTAGACATAGAAACTATAATCCTAAATCATTCTAAAGCTCGTTTGTGTAACTATGTCATTTGCTTAAAATGTTAAAGGAAACCAAAGGAACATCGTTCATTTTCCACATTTCTCACCAACTACCATCTCTGTCCTCTCACTTCGCGTGTTGGTGACTCAAGCGCCATCCTTATTATGCTTTAGAAACATTGAGAATGAAAAGAAGGCCAATGGGGTAAAGAATCACTTATCCTGTCTCTCTCTCCCTGTCTGTGTTTGAGTCCCATCCCCGTACAACACTCTTCCCCATGCCCCTCACCCTCCACCAATCAACCTCTTCACACCACTTAATTGCAGTTATAAATCACTACACAGTATCCTAGTAACTGGAAATAAGTTTTGATTTTTAAAATGGCTTAAATCCTTTTTTCATGTTCTGTGTTGTTCAAAGGGAAGTTGTGTAATTCAAAATAAATCCTTCTCTAACCCTTCTTTTTTTTTTTAATTTTTTATTTCTTTTCAGCGTAACAGTATTCATTGTTTTTGCACCACACCCAGTGCTCCATGCAATCCATGCCCTCTCTAATACCCACCACCTGGTTCCCCCAACCTCCCACCCCCTGCCCCTTCAAAACCCTCAGATTGTTTTTCAGAGTCCATAGTCTTTCATGGTTCACCTCCCCTTCCAATTTCCCTCAACTCCCTTCTCCTCTTCATCTCCCCTTCTTTAATTGCAAAGGGAATTTTTAACTTGATAAGGCATAAGTAAATAAGGCAGTGGAAATTAGCAAACGTTCTTGAATTTTCCTCCTAAAAAGAAAAGAGAAAAAAGATGGACAGGGCTTAATGCATTCCAGAAGCAGGAGAAATTACACAATGTATCCTCATCAAATCAACATGGCACCAATAGAAACTGCTAGAGAAGCTAGGTAAGAGTGGAGGTGTGTTGGCAAAAAAACACCTTAGAAGCAGGCATAGAGCTTACTAGTGAGACAGAAGATGAGTTCTGTCTGAGAAAGCCATCGTTTCTGCTCAGCCTGCCCCAGACCACCCTCAGGCAGAGAATGAATACAGCAGAGGCAATTACTGTCAGAAGATATAAACCTCTCAACTGAGCAGCCACTGGCAGAGAATTGTGATGATGTGACTTTGGGGCCAGAGTCCTTAGGCAGTACAATCCAGGAGAACAGCTCTTATATCTCTCCTCAGGTGTTTGCCAGGTGTACAGTTTGGGTATCTGGGTACTGCATCTGTTCATTAATGTATAATGTTTATATGTTGCTGATTGTGTGTGTGTGTGCGCACACGTGCGTGTACAGACAGAATGAGAAACTCAGCTTGTTTTTGTGGTTGTAGACAATTCTGAGACTCTCTGATCTGCCTAGGTTTTCATGTGGGTTGAAATTGTTTGTTTTTTAATTTCACAGTGTGTGGACAATATACGGTGTAATGGTTTAATGACTATAGTATTTGAAGAGAATTCCAAAGTTACTGTGCCACATATGATTAAGTAAGTGTAATAATCCTTTCCCTTACATTTTAATCAAGTCGAATTGGTAGAGAACATAATGCCCTGCATAAAATATTGCTTCAATAGGATTCTGCTTCATTTTTGTGACGTTTCTTGATAGTAATGTGATAATTCATGGTATGCTATTATAAACAATAAGACTATCAAAATGGTTTTTCAGATTCATGTTTATTGATTCATAGCCTAGAAAAATGTTTTTCATATTGTTACATATGCTTTCATTCAGGGCAAAAGCCTACTGAGATTTTCAAGTTCAATATGAAAAGTTGTGACAGCCAGATATACCCAGGGTCAGAGTCTGGGTCAAAATATGGCATATTCTTCTGGCATCTTCCCAGTGGGTATGAATTATATTACTCAGATTTAGTTATAGAGATATATTTAGATTTCAAAGACACGTGACATGAATCAGTTGGCCTTCCCATGGTACCATCTACCATGCCTACATGTGGATTTGCCCAAGTCTGTCATCATGCTCTCGCTCTATTTTGTTACCAAAACATATCCTATAATTTAAAGTGGCCAATAGGGAAATGGTAGTTTTCAATGAGAAATTATATCATTAACTATGTGCCATTGCTCTCTGTATTAATGCTTTTGTCTCTATATACTTTTTCTGTTATAAATTCCAAAGTGGTTTCAGGAGTATTTTGAGATGACCAAATTGTTCCCTGTTCTCATTTTTTTTTTTTTTTGCAATTCAAATTCTAAGAATAAAATGTATTTTTGAGAATAGTCCTGTCATATCTTTTTTAAAAAGTTACATGAAACTAAGAAAATATTTGTCTTCTATGCATTTTTAATGTGGATTTTTTTTTTAGATCTGAGCTGTTTGTGCCAAGGCAATAAATAACATTAATTTTCCTCTTCTGATAGGAAATTAGTGCTTTTAGCACCATCCCAACAGTACAGCTTTTAGAACTTATTATTGTATCAGATGAAGGCAAAGTACTTTGTACTAGTGCTGTAATTACTACAGAAAAATATAAACTGAAAAAGAATGACAGTATTTTAAATTACCGGTCAAATTTAAAAACATTTTAGGTAGATCTGTTTTAAGGCTCTAGGGTAAAGATTCCTTTAGCATTCAGTTTTTTTGTTTTTGACTTAGTCAAGTTTTTTTTAAACCGTATTAGTTAAAAATGTATGATGTTAAGATTAAGACCAGGTATGCAGTATTCAACCAAGAGGTCCAAATTGTGACTTAATTTTTAAATTCTCATCATTAGCTTAGAGTTAGTTTAATTTTCTACCATAGGATTATTATTTTAATATTTCACAAAATAGCATATGTTACTTTTATTCATTTTTTAAAAGTAGTTTCTTGAAGGCTAGACAGCCATGAAAGTCCCAACTGCTTTAGATTGAGAATATGTAAATTGGACATTGCAGCCAATTATAAGCTCCTAAACCCTAGGGCTACTTTACATATGCTGTACATACACTTTGTTGACTTTAAAAATGAATAAAGATACAAAGTTTAGTTTCGTGCCTAACTGGTTATGGCTGATGCCCAGAGGCATCTTCTGTCACCTATGATGTCCGTTTGACAGTGTCCATGTCCAGCCTTGCATGTGTAACTGCCTCACACGCAGACCGCGACTTTCCTCTTTTGGGAGCACAGATGAGAGGAACAACTCTCCTCCTAGGACAGAAACCTGTATCTCGGGCTGTAAAGATTTTTGATTAGAGTCACTCATATTTTGATGCCCATCTAGCCTATTCTGAATGTACTCCTGAGGCAGAGTAAAGTCTCATATATTTCTTCATTCCACTTTCCTCAGCCTTACTGAGCCTGATTTTCCTTAGTCAGAGGAAAGAGGATAATTTGACAGTCTCTCTTCCTTCTGATAGTTCCCCCTGTGGACCTATTCTACCCTAAATTCTGTATGAGCTCCTCCCTGTGCATCTCCTTGGCCACATACCATGAAAAAAAAAAGACAACATTTTTTTTTCCCCTCACTGTGTCTTATTACTGACATGGTGTCACTGTGGAGGCACTCACTTCCCTTTAAAACTTAATTATAATAGGTGATTTGGGTTTCATGTCTCAAGATTGCTTTTTTAATTTCACCAAAAAAGGAGTTGTTATTGTTACAGGAGGCTTAAGTAATGCATTGTATCTCACTTGAGAGCCCCTTAGGAAATAAACACTGCTCTCAGTGTAATAAAAGAATATTAAATAATTTCATCATATTTAATTTATTTTCCTAAAAGGAAAATGATAATTTTGAAGGACAGTGGTATCATTAGTCAGTTTTATTTTAATTTAATGTTGCCACTACATAGTTTTTTCTTCCAGTGCTGTTGCTGTTTTTTAAGTAAGCTCCATGCCCGATGTGGGGCTAGAACTTATGACCCTGAGATTAAGAGTTGCATGTTCTGCCAACTGAGCCAGCCAGGCACCCCATTTCTTCCAGTATTTTGAGTAAAGTAATTAGAGTCAAAAGCTGCAAAGCTCATAACTACTATTAGAATGCAAAATTATGATATTTATTAGGTGAAAATTCCCCTTTAAGTGATGCTTCCATTTTAGGATAGGGTAGGGTAAGGGTTGCTTCCTTTTAATAATAGTCAACCTCACCTTTCTTAGAAAATGGAGATTTTTAATGGGAAAATGATGGGGGAGAAAGTGATTACCTTGATCATCCATCTTTTGGACAGACTGATTGATTCATGAAAGTTCTTAAGGTCTTTCTCCTAATGAGAAAATTAAGAACCCTAAGAGTAAAGTTGATTAAGGGTCACATAGTGAGTGGGAAAAAAGAGCCCCACGCCATTTTCAAGGATCTCAAAAGATGCTCTTGTGTATTTTCGAGATCAATAAAGTGGCTAAAACTAACAGGCCACCCTTAGTTCCTCAGCAGGAGTAAGCTGCTCATTTAAAATGCTCTTTCGAGCCTGCAGATGAAGTACTTCTGCCTGCACCCCATATGCGTTGGGGTGGGAAGTTTCCAAGAGCAAGCTAAGAAAGTTATTGATTCCTTTTTATTTTAAAGAAAATAAATATATAATTTAAAATCCCTCGAAGTGCTGAAGGGGCTAATTCAGGGCACTCACAACAAGTGAGCTGATTCTAAGCAAGCAGTTGCCTTACTGAACGTTCCCAGCCCCACAGTATGGCCTTTGATCAGTTGGTGAAATCCGGGACTTCACTGATGGCCTGTTCTGAGATAACTGCAGTGGAGGGGAACAAGGGATCTCAGAAGAGAATGTGAAAGCTCTGGGCAGTCCTAACGAAGGTGTGCATTTCTTTGAGCCCCATTTGGATTCAGCCTCTGCTTCCAGGCATCTCCCCTTACAAGCTTTGCCTCTCTGCTGGCCTCCTTTGCCCTTTCGAACAAGTGTGCAAGTGAGGGCTGCTGTGTGAACCTTCCCGCTAGTGTGCTCATCCACCTGGGAAGGCTACTCAGGCCCCCGGGGAATCCAGGAGGGTGAAGGAGCGGCCAGATGGGAGGTTTTACAGAATGAGAAAATGCAGAACACTGCAGGAGTGGGGGGTAGGGGGGCAATGGTGGATACTGTTCATGGGTAATCTCTTCCATTACTTTTTTTTTTTTTTTTTATTTACTTGACAGAGAGAGAGTCAGTGAGAGGAGGAACACAAGCAGGGGAGTGGGAGAGGGAGAAGCAGGCTTCCCGCTGACAGGGAGCCTGATGCAGGGCTAGATCCCAGGACCCTGGGATCATGACCTGAACTGAAGGCAGACACTTAACAACTGAGCCACCCAGGGATCCATTATTACTTTTTTTTTAAAACGAAGATATTTCAAACACTATAAAATATTGCAAAATAATGAAGACATAACATTTCACACAATTTGTGGATTAAACTGTACTACTCATAAAACAGATAGACTTAAACTCATTAATGAGCCAGGAAGAATGAAGTGAATTAAGCATTCAGTTGAAGAAGTTAGAAAAAGAATGACAAAATAAACTGTAAGAAAGTGTGGGAAGAAAATAAGACAAGTACAGACACGAACATGTTAAAATATAGAAAAATGGTAGAATTGTTCAAAGAGCCAGCTCTAAAGGGAAAAATACCTAATAACATAGCCTCTTGGTCAGTTTAGTTAAAATAGGTTAAAAAAAAAAAAGATGGGGTGGGGGAACAAATGCACAAAATCAGAAGTGAGGGAAAAAAATAACTACAGATACAGCAGTGATATCTATAGCTCCTTCTCCCCTCTACCCATCTGTGGGAAAAACATCACCCATTACTTATTAAGCATACTTCTGACATGCTGATTCAAGGACATAAGCAATGCTCCTCCTAAACAGGACATTTGGTTTCTTTTCTCTAATAAAACATGATTGAACTAGACAGAAGTGCAGGATAGCAGAAATGTCCCACCCCAAACATGCTACTTGGGCATATTGGTTGAACTACAGGCACTTGAAAAACAGCAAATGCAGGGAGAAATGTTCTCTGAACTCCTTTTATTTGCCTAAAGACAGATCCTCCAAAAGGCACTCAGATGTCATAAATCCCCTCCATGAGAATTTCATCAACCAGGGAGGATTGAATTTATTGTAGGGGAAAAGACTAGAAGTCAACCCCTCACCTAGACGAGCTGTCCCAAATTATCATACCTCCCATCTAGTCTCCTAAGGGTCCATTCATCTTTCCTAAAAATCATTTTCTCTTCTCTAAGAGGCCTACCCGCCTTACCCCCCACCCATTTTCCCTATTAAGATGGTATTTAAGCCTGAATTCTAAGCCACCTCTGGGAGTTGCTTATTTTTCCCTGGGTATCTCCCATGTGTACATGAGGTACACATGTTAATAAACTTCTGCTTGTTTTTCTCTTCCTAACCTGTCTTCTATTACAAGAGTCTCAGCCAAGAACTCAGAAAGGTAGAGGGAAAATAATTTTCTTCCCCTACAGAAGGAATCCACAGAGTGAAATGAATTATTCTTACCTTCTCCACAATTAATTCTGACCTTCCTAAATTATAATAATGTAGTTGATGTTTTTATAGCCCTGCCTTCTTGCGTGTAATAAGTCATTTCAACATCTTTTATCAAATATGATGGGAAGCACTCATACAAGTTTGTGTCTCTGAATACTGAAATACTCAGTGGCTGAGAGGAAGCCATGTCCCAGTATTGTTCTTATGTTCCTGCTTTGTGTGTAGGTCTGATGCCCGTCTTCATAAAGATGACACTGACATTTGCTTCAGTAAAACACTCAACTCCTGCAAAGTGCCCCAGATCCGCTATGCCAGTGTGGAGCGCCTCCTGGAGCGGCTGACAGACTTGCGGTTTCTTAGTATTGATTTCCTCAACACCTTTCTGCACACCTATCGTATTTTCACTACGGCAGCTGTGGTGCTGGCAAAACTTTCCGATATATACAAGAGGCCTTTTACCTCCATCCCTGTCAGGTAGGCTCTGGACTTGCCTGTCATGGAAGTTGGTCCCCTTGGTGCGTGGGTCTCCATGCAGCTGAGCAGACATTCTGCAGAGCTGCTCCTACAGGATTGGCTCACCTGGGAACTTGGCCTGCCTATGGAGGGGCGGGGGGTAGAGTTCACAGATGGTTCCCATGGAAGAAGTTGAGAACCCTAGAGTCCCCAACTCATCTTTGCTTCTTCCATGATTATTTGGAAGCTAACTCTATTGTCTTAGGCTTTCTTTCTTTCTTTTTTTTTTTTTTTAACAGTTGTGCTTTTCAAACTTGAACGTGTATTAAGAATCACCCAGGGGTCTTGTTAAATTGCAGACTGTGATTTAGCATATCTGGAGTGGAGCCAGAGTTCTGCATTTCTGACAGGCTCCCCAGAGATACCAATGCTACTGGTCTTTGGGTCACAGTCGAGTAAGCAAGGGGTTAGACAAGGCCTAAAAATTGTCTGTATTCCTTCAGCAAATGTGTGGTATATAGGTAGCATTTAAATGAAGGAAATTCAGCAACAGAAGTGTGATGATATTGTGGCCTTTTAATGTAGGGAGCATGTTCTGAATGATAATCAGGGGAATCGTCTTTACTTGGCTATCATCTGTCAATAGCTTCTGCTCTTATTTTTAGGTCATTAGAATTGTTTTTTGCTACCAGCCAGAACAATAGAGGTGAACATTTGGTGGATGGCAAATCCCCACGCTTATGTCGCAAATTCTCTTCCCCACCACCACTGGCTGTGTCCAGGACGTCCTCCCCAGTGAGGGCCAGAAAGCTGTCCTTGACTTCTCCGTTGAACTCAAGGATAGGAGCTTTGGACCTGACCACCTGCTCAGCATCCAGCAGTCCTACCACCACCCACAGCCCTGCTGCATCCCCACCACCGCACCCTGGCAAAGTACCGTTGGATCTCAGCAGAGGCCTTCCTTCTCCAGAACAAAGCCCGGGATCTATAGAGGAGTCTCTAGATAATCCCCGCATGGATCTGTGTAACAAGCTAAAACGAAGTATTCAAAGAGGTATTATCCACCTGCCACACCCTGTGTTTGCTGGCCACCTGCTTCCCCACCATTCCTTCTGGAACCCTAGATCCCTTTCTTTACAGCTTTCCTACTCCTCTGTTGAAAGTAGAATGAAGACAATGGCTAGTTAGAAGGGGCAGTGCCTGTAGGTCACTCTAGCCTATGTGCAAAGGAGGGCAAAGTTAGCTGTCGTGGGGTCTTCTACAGTAAAAGTCTAATTGTAGTCAGCTATGTATGGAAGAACAGCATTATCTGAATGGTATTACTGGAAGGTTCTTTGTGGGATTTGGTTAAGGCTGGTTGGGTAATGATACTTTGTGTAGAGGTAGGAAGTAGGCCCCCTCTTCTGGGAACTTGGGCCCCAGAGCTTTCTCCCCTGGTGTCTGCCATGAACTCCCATACTGCTTCCAGCCTCCTCTGCTGAGGATGACCCAGCCTGGAAGCATTAAGATGGCTTCTTCAGTTTGGTTACCAAGGCAGTGCTTCATATTACAACAGAGATAGAGGGGAAAAAATGAAATTTGAGATGGTGTTCATTGTCCATGACAGCCAAAATGTTTTTGTTTTTTTTTTTTAAGAGGTGAATTAGATATGTTTTCCTGATTAAATTCTCTGATTTTCTGTGGCACTTAGATTAAAATCTGTTTTCCCTCACAAGACCTTAAGATACCATGAGACCTAGATCTTGTCTATCTTTCTAGCCCCTGTTTCCATCATTCCCCTCACCCTGCCTACTAGATACAGTGACGGGGATTGCATTTTTTTTTTAATTTCTTTATTTATTTGACAGAGAGAGAAATCACAAGTTGGCAGAGAGCTAGGCAGAGAGAGAAGGGGAAGCAGGCTCGCCACTGAGCAGAGAGCCCGATGTGGGGCTTGATCCCAGGACCCTGGGACCATGACCCGAGCCAAAGGCAGAGGCTTTAACCCCCTGAGCCACCCAGGCGCCCCTCCATTTTTTTATCTCAGAAATAGCTCAGTCATTTCTGCCTCAGGGCCTTTGCACTAGTTCTTCCTCCTGCCTGGAGGTGTAAGTTCCATAAGATCAGCAACATTGTCTTTCTTGTTCATCTCTGTACTCTCTGTGCCTTGGCCAGTGCCTGGCAGGTGGTTAATTTTTGTTAAATGAGTGAATCAAACGAAACATTCCATCAACTAAGCAAGGATCTTGTGTCCTGTCTACCTTGCCTTTTGCAGCTCAGTACAAAGTAGGGGTTATAGGAGGTGACTTTTGTTGCTTTAATATTTCTGTGGTGAAAATAAAAAAGGTTTCATAACAAAATTAGCAAAGAGCTTTTTTTTTTTCTTTGCTGTATGATAATTGATTTATTTATTGATGACATAAAAAAATTGGGTATTCAATCAAAGTGTCCATATTTCAAGGGCAATCACCCAGATGGAAGCAGAGACCCTTGCTTCTCTACCTGGTTGAAGCTTCTAGCTTCACATAATTTAAAAATAAGCCTCCTGGCTGAAGAACTTAATGGAATTTTAACTGGATGGTTGTCATCATCAAAAGTAGCACCCTTTTAAACAAGAAATGCTTTAAATTGACAAGTTAGCAACTAAGGAGGAGGAAAGGAGGAAGATAATTAAAAAGTCGTTAGAACAACAAGCTTTAGTAGAATCATGATGGATTCTTCTCAGGAATAATGAGGCAACGTGCAAGCTGACAAGTACATTTGGTGTTCCATCCAGCATCAGCCTGGGAACCTCTGTGGAAAGAGTGACTTAGGGAAGCTTATCACAGACCTTCCCCGTGGGGCAGGGTGCCCTGGGAAATACAGGAATTTCCCAGAATATGGGAAGATCTGTTCCCTCCTTTAATTGGAGTGGAATGAATAGAAGTCTGGGTCTAAGTCTGGATTCTTGTGTTGAGTTAGGAGAGCTTTAAGAGTAAGCATGTTAGTGTCAGACATTCATGGCTTCGAGGTTGGTCTGAACTCATGTCATGGTTCTAGAGGTCCTCAGTCAAGCTGCCCATTGCCCATCATGGCTAATTCTTCCTCTTAACTTGTTGCAGATTTTGACATTGCTCACCAAGTTCCCTGGTTCTGGTCTTCAACACCCAAGCCCAGAGTATGTAGTGATGGTCTAATGTCATATAAAACCTGTTTGCCCTACTATCTGGGATGGAGGTGTGGCCACTGGTAGGAATCAGTAGCTTTTCCCCCTGGTTCGAGTTAGACTCAGGGAGACCAAAAAAAAAAAAAAAAAAAAAGAAACAACTGGATTAAGCTCCAAAGGACACTGACAAAAGTCTGCTAGAGACTGGTTGGTGCAGATGTTGGACTGATGTGCAATCATTGTGGTCACAGTTCTTGGCAACTGGAGACCTTGTCATGTGTCAGCATTAATCACTTATGACTGGCAGCCAAGGATGGAGAAAACCTATGAATAATGGTGTGGTGACAATATTAGGTTCTCAGGGGCACCTGGGTGGCTCAGTTGTTTGAACATCCAACTCTTAGTTTCTCAGCTCAGGTCGTGTTCTCTGGGTTGTTGAGAGTTGCACACTTAACCAACTGAGCCACCCAGGTGTCCCTGTACATTGATTTTACATCCTGCGACTTTGCTGAATTCATGTATCAGTTCTAGCAATTTTTTGGTAGGCTGTTTCGGGTCTTCTATGTAGACTATCATGTCTGCAAATAGTGAAAATTTGACCTTTTCCTTGCTGATTTGGGTGCTTATTATTTCTTTTTGTTGTCTGATTGCTGAGGCTAAGACTTCTAGTACAATGTTAAATAGTAATGCTGAGAGTGAACATACCTGTCTTTTTCCTAACTGAAGAGGAAAAAGCTCTGTTTTTTTTTTTTTTTTTTCCTGTTGAGGATGATATTAGCTGTGGGTCTTTCATATATGGTCTGTATGATGTTAAGATATGTTCCATCTATACCTACTTCGTTGAAGGTTTTTATCAAGAATGGATGCTGTATTTTGTCAAATACATTTTCTGCATCTATTGAGAGATCATATGGTTCTTATCCTTTCTTTTATTAATGTGGTGCACTTTGATTGATTTGTGAATATTGAACCACCCCTTCAGCCCAAGAATAAATCCCACTTGATCAAAGTGAGTAATTCTTTTAATGTACCATTGGATTCAATTTGCTAGTATTTTGTTGAGAATTTTTGCATCTGTGTTCTTCATGGATATTGACCTGTAATTCTCCTTTTTGTAGGGTCTTTGTCTGATTTTGGAATCAAGGCAATGCTGGCCGTGTAGAATGAATTTGAAGGTTTTCTTTTCATTTCTATTTTTCGGAACAGTTTGAGAAGAATAGTTATTAACTCTTTAAATGTCTGGTAGAATTCCCCAGAGAAGCCATCTGGCCCTGGACTCTTGTCTGTTGGGAGATTTTTGATTATTGATTCAATTTCTTTACTGGTTTTGGGTCTGTTTAGGTTTTCTGTTTCTTCCTGTTTCAGTTTTGCTAGTTTGTGTGTCTCTAGGAATTTGTCCATTTCTTCCAGATTACCTGGTTTGCTGGCATATAATTTTTCATAATATTCTCTTATAATTATTTGTATTTCTGTGGCATTTGTTGTGACCTCTCTTCTTTCTTTTTTTTTTTTAATAAATTTTTTTTTGAAGATTGATTTATTTATTTATTTGAGAGAGAGACAGTGAGAGAGATCATGAGCGAAGAGAAGGTCAGAGGGAGAAGCAGACACCCCAGGGAGCTAGGAGCCCGATTCATGACTCGATCCTGGGACTCCGGGATCATGACCTGAGCCGAAGGCAGTCGTCCAACCAACTGAGCCACCCAGGCATCCCACCTCTCTTCTTTCTTTCCTGATTTTATTTATTTGGGTCCTTTCTCATTTTTTTTTGATAAGTCTGGCTAGGGGTTAATTAATTTTATTAATACTTTCAAAGAACTAGGTCTTAGTTTTGTTAATCTGTTCTACTGTTCCCCCCCCCCTTTAGTTCTGTATCATTTATTTCTGCTCTAATCTTTATTATTTCCCTTCTTCTGCTGGCTTTATGTTTTATTTGCTGTTCTTTTTCTAGCTCCTTCAGGGGTAAAGTTAGGTTGTGTATTTAAGACTTTTCTAGCTTTTTGAGGTAGGCCTGTATTGCATTTTACTTCCCTTCTTAGGACTGCATTTGCTGTATTTCACAGGTTTGGGACTGTTATGTTTTTATTTTCATTTGCTTCCATGTACTTTTTTCATTTCTTCTTTAATGTCCTGTTTACCCCATTCATTCTTTACTAGGATGTTCTTTAACCTCCATGTATTTGTGGTCTTTCCAAATTTTTTTCTTGTAGTTGACTTCAAGTTTCAGTGTTGTGGTTGAAAATATGCATGCTACGATCTCAGTTTTTTTGGATGTGTTGAGGGCTGATTTGTGACCCAGTGTGTGATCTATTTTGGAGAATGTCTCATGTGCACTCAAAAAGAATGTCTATTCTGCTCCTTTAGGATGAAATGCTCTGACTATATCTGTTAAGTCCATCTGGTCCAGTGTGTCGTTCAAAGCCATTGTTACCTTGTTGATCTTCTGCTGAGATGATTTATTCATTGCTATAGGTAGGGTGTTAAAATCCCCTACTATTATTGTACTGTTATCAATGTGTTTCTTTATATTTGTTATTCATTGATTCATATATTTAGGTGTTCCCAAGTTGGGGGCATAAATATTTACAATTGTTAGGTCTTTTTGATGGATAGACCCCTTAATTATGATAATGCCCTTCTTCATCTCTTGTTACAGTTTTTGATTTAAAATCTAGTTTGATATAAATATGGGTGCTCTGGCTTTCTTTTGATGTGTGTTAGCATGATAGATGGTTCTCCATCCCCTTTACATCTTTATTTCTTTTCCCTTTCTGTAGCTGTTTTCTGATTACTCTTAATGTATTTACTTGCCATCCTGTTTCTATTTGTTCCTAACAAGTAGTTAAGATGGTTGTTCAAACAGGAACATGGAACAGCTGGATTAAAAATAAAATGAATAAGGAAATCAGGTAATGGAGAAAACTGTATGAGGCCAAGGGTATGGTTAGTGAACAGTGAACACAACACTGTGTGGTCTTCTGTAGTTCCTAGAGTCGCCCTGGTTTGGGTTCCGAAAATAATCAATTCTGTGATTCATATGAAACCTAAGAAGATATTGGTGTACAGGTGTATCTTTTCTTCCTACTGGGATTTGAGAACAATTTATCCTATGAATTCCCATAAAGGAAATGCTGTGAGTAGAAAGCTCAGAATTAACACTGGAGACTGGGGAGCTCTGTGGCATTTTTCTGAAGAGGTGAAACAGGAATCATAAATTTTTCTTGTATTTTGCATTGGTAAATGGGTAATACTGGTCATGAATAGGCCTAAGAAAGTCATGGATAAAGCATTTTACTTCAGCATCAGTCTGACAGGTTCTGTGTGTGTGTGTATACATGATGTCTGTAGGAGCCAAGGCTGCTGTGTTAACTCTGTTGTCTAGTCTTGAAAATTCTAATTGGCAAAGGAAAGGGAGACACTGATCTGTCTTTAATTTGAAAGATGTTTGCATGTGCTTTGCATAATGTTAACACTTAAAACAGTTGGCAAACTTGAATAAGAATTCTGTGCCAACAGTTTATACATTTTTGGCTTTTCACTTCAGGATACAACTCTGTACAACCTCATTACGTAATACCGGCTTCCTCCCCTACTGAGGCCATAGGTCTCTCTCATTGCTGACCTGCTAGACAGTTTCAGGGCACACCATGTGAAAAATGCTAGTCACCTTTGTCCCGTTTTATGGTCACTGCACTGCTAATGCCAGACTTGCAATATTTACTGGCAAGAAAACTTCAAATGACATAAAGAGGAAGAAGAGAAACAGGAGCTATCTCTCCGAGTGAGCAAAAAGATGAACTTGGAGGGAAAAGAAGACCCTTTATTCCCTGACCCCCGTCCAGGCTCCCTTGCCTCCCCTATCTGCCCCAGGCTTGTCTTATTCATTAAGCCCTCCTTTCTTCCTAGCAGGCAGGCCCCACCTTCTTCCTCCCTGGATTTTCCTTAGAAGTGCAAATCTTAGCCCAGCTCACTTCCGTATGCCACCCAATGGTGAGCTCTCCACAAAAATCCAGCCAGTGGCAGGCAAGCAAGGGAAGGCACAGGGCTGCTGCCTGTACTGGGGTCTCTCACCATACCTGCCATCGTGCCCTCCGGTCCCTGCTGTGCAAGCCAGCCTAAGTGTTGCAGCATAGCCTGCATCACCGGTGTCTGTTTCTGTGTTCTTAGCTTGAAAATTGCCTGCCTGTGGGCTGAAAGTGCTCCCAATTTTAGCATTTGTTTTGAGCCCACATCTGCCTACTCGTCCTGAAAGCAAAGCTGTTTGCATGGAGCTTGATTGAAAGCGAACATGCCAGAAGGAAATGCTGCTTGTCCCCCACCCTGCTGGCATGGTTTCTTCTCTCTGTAGCTGCCTCTATTTGCTTACAGTGTTATTCTTTGCTTTCCTGTTCTTTCAGGAGATATTCAAGGCCTGACCATCTCTCTCACTGGGAAGTTTTTCGGGTTCAGTGTAATTGCTGATGAAATGATTTTTTCATTTGCTTCAGAGGATTGAATGGTTGAATCAGCCCAAGGACACGTGTATTTGATATTCTGCTTGCTCTTGCAGAGCAGATGCCTTCCATTACAGAATTTTGAGGGAGTTATTTAGAAAATAATAAAACTAACAGCTAAGCATGAATTTTTTGTCTGTATCCTGCATCACTGCCAGCTTTAACTGTAATTATGTCATTCAGGGAAAGAGCCTAACCAGTTCCCTTCCCTGGCCCCTTTGTGTTGCAGAAGAGCCGGATTGTGGCTGTGGCCCTATTTGCAAGGAAGTAAATCACATGCAAGAAGTCATTAGGTATTTTTGGAAGGGTTTATTGAGTGAAATCTTGAATGGAATGACAAAGGGAGCAGGGCTGAGAGCAGTCCTGCTGACAGGGGTCATGGAAAGTTAGTAGAGGAGACAGAGTTGTTACGAGTTAATGAAAAGCACAAGGAAAAAAATACAAGAGGATTGGTGGAAATGTATGAATTTTTGGTTGTTTTTTTTCTGTGAAAGAACGTATGTGGGGTTGTAGATTTAGCTGGTTAATAAGCCAGCGCGAGTGGTACAGAAACGTCGACAGTAGTAGCCTAAGGTGACCCTAGAGTGATGTGTCTTTTATTCATGAGACCTTAGCTGCAGTGAAAAGGCTCAGACGATCTCAAGCTTTCCCCATGGTTCATTCTAAAAATTTCCACTTGCCTCCTGCTGATCTGTAGCTTTAGATCAGGGCTGTCCAACAGAACTCTCTGGGAGGATGGAAATTCTCTCTGTCTCTGCCACCCTGTACTGTAACCACCAGCCGCATTTGGTACTGAGCACTTGAAATATGGCTAGTGCAAGTAAGGAACTGAAATAGTAATTTAACTTTAGTTAGTTTTCATTTAAATTTATCTAGTCACATTTGGCTAATGCTACCATGTTGGACAGGGCAGCTCTAGACCCTTAGGAGTTCCCAGAGCTTCTTGTTTGGGGGGGGGGGGGGGGTACACTGATAGAGATTCAAACTTCAGTTGGCTTAAGAATTAGTGAAGTCCCAATTTTGATCCCAGTCTGATTTATAATCTGGGAGTGTCCTTCTTGCCCTACTCTCCTGGCAGGTAGGGAACCCCTGTTCTTTTGAACATCTGCTGTTGTGTTGGGCAGAAAGAAGTGGGTACAGTTAGCCAGGCTCAGCAGGGTCAGTGAGACAGGGATAAAGAAGACACGGCACTGAGATTTAGTGACACTAGCACTCTGCTAGGAGGAATGACTTGATTTCATATTAAAGCCCTTTAAAAATGTAAACTAGTCTGGAAGTCGGTTATCCATATAGGCCTTTGTGTTTCTGTGTATACTACTGACAAGAACTTCTTGAATTCATGGCCTGGTTGTTAAAATTCCTGATGTTTCCAAGCAGCTGTCCTAGAGTCTGCACCTGTGGACCGAGCAGGAGTGGAAAGTTCCCCAGTGGCAGACAGCACGGACCTTTCACCTTGCCGATCACCCTCCACTCCTCAGCACCTCCGCTATCGTCAGCCTGTAGGTAAGCTCAGGAGACGCGAAAATATAAACGCAAAAGGTAGTTTCTAGCTTCTGAATCTTTCTTTTGCACTCCCCAAATATTTTTTAATCTCAGTTACAAAAATTAGTTGGAAGGAAACAATGTGACTGTCAAGTAGTGGAGAAATAAATGATTAGAGAATATGTCATTAGTGTAACTAATACTGATCTTGCCCCATCACTGCACGGCACTCTGTGGAGTAACAGGAATCAAGAAGCTTGTTCTTAAAGGATGGCCGTTTGAAGAATTATTATTGCTCATGTGGCAAAAAACTGATGTATTTTCTATAGTTAGGAAACTTATAAAGCATAACACATAATTTGTTATAGAATATACGAAAGGTGCTCTAATTGGAGGAAAAACCATCAGAGAGAAAGGTAGAAATCTTTTATCTTCCCATTGTTCAAATAAAAAAATCCAAATAACAGTTGTTTTTTGAAACATTTTTACAGTGGTTTGCCATTAGGGTATGCATTCAGATGATTTTCCATTATGAATTATAAACTTTAAACATTTTTTAAACCCTAGAAATATTTAAAAACAAATTAAACAGATGTGTTGTTAATCCTTATATTCTTCTTTACTAATGAAAAACAAAAACAAGACAGTTGGTTTTGAATTGTTTCTTTTTTTTTCTCCTCAAGTTATTTTAAGCTACAAGAGAAAACTATTCAGTTATGAAACCAAACTCCCCCAAGTAATCCAAGTAAAATGTAAAGATTTTTAGACTTTCATAAACCTGCTTTAAGTAGAACAGTTTGGCAAAAGGCTCCACATGGCCAGTTCATTTGTAGCCTTGGCCAAGTGGTAGAAGTTGTTGTCTTGCAGTCTGCTCCAAGAGAAGCTAACCTGGGTCAGGCTGTTTTCAGAGGACTCACTGGTGACTGGGAGGAACAAGATGATGGAGGAGTAGGAGACCTAAATTTCATGTTCCAGGAATTCAACTAGATAGTTACCAACCATTCTGAATACCTACAAACTCAACAGGAGATCTAAGAAAAGAAGAGCAGCAATTATATGAACAGAAAAGCAACCACTTTCTGGAAGGTAGGACGTGCAGAGAAGTGAATCTGAAGTGATATTTGAGAAGATAGATCCCGGCAGCAAGGGAGCCTCTGTCAGCCAGCTCCGGCAAGCAGTATAGCACCAGAGCACAAAATCAGAAGTTTTAGAAGTCTGCACCACTGAAGGACGTCACTCCAGAGGCTAAGCAGGGGTGGAGCTCTCTTGGGCACAGGGTGGTCTCAGGTCCCTTGGGGTCACAGAAAGACCGCGGGTGCCAGAGTGCAGCAGAGCTCCCAGGTATCAGAAATCAGAAGCTGGCTGCAGAGACGGAGCCAAGGAGGGGGCTCTTAGCTCAGAGTTACCTTAAACTGTGATCCGAGGCACAGTCAGACCACACTTTGAGCAGGGACCCCATAAGTTACAGATCTGGGGAGACTCACCTTCCTCTCCTGGGAACAGTGGCATGGGAGTGCCGCACAGTTATCTGCTGGGTTTAGAGACTCCAAAGAGGGCCGTGTGCCAGAGATAGAAATGCTTGGTCACAGTCTGGGTGAGCACGGAGTGCGGCTGGAGACCAGGGAGAGAGGAGGGATTTACTGTTTTTCTCTGAGGGCGCACTGAAGAGTGGGGCCCCGAGCTCTCAGCTCCTCAGGGGCCAGAGATTGAGGGGCCGCCATTTTCATTCTCCTCCTCCAAAGCTTATGGAAAGCTTTCAGGGAACAAAAACTCCCGAGAGGGAACCGAGCAGATTACTTAGCCTGGCCCCTGGCAAGGGCAGTGCAGTTCCACCTCAGGCAAAGACATTTGAGAATCACTGCAACAGGCCCCTCCCCCAGAAGATCAGCAAGAACATCCAGCCAAGACCAAGTTTACTGATCAATGAGAACTGTAAAACACAGGTGCTAGGGGAATACAGTGCATGGAATTCATGGCTATTTCCCCATGATTCTTTAGGTTTTTGAAGTTAATTTTTAAAATTTTCTTCTTTTCCCATTTTTTAAAAAAATTTTCTTCTTTCCTGTTTTAACCAACATCTTACTCTTATCAATTCCTTTTTTGAAATTGTATTAAATTATCATTTTCATAGTCATATTCTTTTCCCTCATTGTATTTAACCTTATTTTTGTATATATATTTATTTTTCTTTCTTTAAAATTTTGAGATAAAGTTTCTTCTAACAGACTAAAATATACCCTAAATCTAACGTATGACTTTGTTATAGTCTCCCGCCTGATCACATTCTCTCCTTTTTAAATTTAAAAAATTTTTTTCTTCCTTTTTTTCAACCAACTTCTTGTTTTATCAATTGCTTTTCAAAAATCTTTTTTAATTTTCATCTTTACAGTCACCCTTCATCGTATTTACCCTTATTTTTGTATATATATAAAAGTTTTTCTTTCTTTAAAATTTTGGGAGACCATTTCTTCTAACAGACCAAAATACACCCAAAATCTAGTGTGTGGCTGTGTTCTATTCACCAGCCTGATCAGATTCTTTTTTCCTTTTCTTTTTACTTATTTATTTTCCTTTCTTTCCCCCCAGTTTTGGGTCTCTTTTGATTTGTTTAGTGTATATTTTTCTGGGGTCATTGTTACCCTTTTAGCACTTTGTTCTCTCATTGATCTATTCTTCTCTGGACAAAATGACAAAATGGAAAAACTCACCTCAAAAAAAAGAACAAGAGGCAGTACTAACAGCCAGAGACCTAATCAATATGGACATGAGTAAGATGTCGGAACCACAGTTCAGAACGACAATTATAAAGATACTAGCTGGGCTTGAAAAAAGCATAGAAGATACTAGAAAAATCCCTTTCTTGAGGAATAAAAGAACTAAAATCCAGCCAAGTTGACATCAAAACAGCTATTAATGAGGTACAATAAAAAATGGAAACTAACTGCTAGGATAAATGAGGCAAAAGAGAGAATTAGTGATCTAGAAGACCAAATGATGGAGAATAAAGAAGCTGAGAAAAAGAGAGATAACTACTGGATCACGAGGGGAGAAATTGAGAGATAAGTGATACCATAAGATGAAACAATATTAGAATAATTGGGATCCCAGAAGAAGAAGAAAGAGAGAGGGGGGCAGGTATACTGGAGCAAATTATAGCAGAGAACTTCCCTAATTTGGGGAAGGAAATAGGCATCAAAATCCAGGAGGCACAGAGAATGCCCCTCAAAACCAATAAAAATAGGTCCACACTCTGTCATCTAATAGTAAAATTTACAAGTCTCAGAGACAAAGAGAAAATCCTGAAAGCAGTTTGGGACAAGAGGTCTATAACCTATAACAGTAGAAATATTAGATTGGTAGAAATATTAGATTGGCAGCAGACCTATCCACAGAGACCTGGAAGTCCAGAAAGGACTGGCACTAAATGAGAAAAACATGCAGCCAAGAATACTATAGTCAGCCAGTATTATTATACTGTTATAATATTATATATATGATATACGTATATTATATATATTATATTATACTGTTATATTATTATCTATTATACTATGGACAGCCAGGCTGTCATAGTAAAATAGAAAGAAAGATAGAAAGAAAATAGAAAGAGAGATAAAGCTTTCAAGACAAACAAAAATTAAAAGATTTTGCAAACACCAAACCAGCCTTACAGGAAATATTGAAAGGGGTCCTCTAATAAGCAATGAAAGAGCCTAAAAATAACATAGACCAGAAAGGAGCAGAGACAATATACAGTAACAGTCACCTTACAGGCAATACAATGACAGTAAATTCATATCTTCCAATAGTTACCCTGAATATAAATGGGCTAAACACCCCAATCAAAAGACACAGGGTATCAGAATGGATTAAAAAAAAAAAAAAAAAAAAAGACCCATCAATGTACTGTCTGCCAGAGACTCATTTTAGACCCAAGGATACCTCCAGATTTAGAGTGAGGGGGTGGAAAACCATTTACCATGCTAATGAACATCAAAAGAAAGCTGGAGTGGCAATCCTTATATCAGACAAATTGTAGATTTTTAAACCAAAGACTGTAAGAAGAGGAAGGACACTATATTGTACTTAAAGGGTCTGTCCAACAATAAGATCTAACAATTTTAAATATCTATGCCCCTGATATGGGAGCAGCCAGTTGTATAAACCAATTAATAACAAAATCAAAGAAACACATTGACAATAATGCAATAATAATAGGGGACTTTAGCAACCCCCTCACTGAAATGGACTGATCATCTAAGCAAAGATAAAGAAATAAAGGACTTAAATAACACACTGGACCAGATGGACATCACAAATATATTCAGATATATTTCATCCCAAAGCAACAGAATACACATTCTCCTCTAGTGCACATGAAACATTCTCCAGTATAGATCATATCCTGGGTCACAAATCATTGGGTACCAAAAGATTGGGATTATTCCCTGCATATTTTCAGACCACAGTGCTTTGAAACTAGAACTCAGTCACAAGAGGAAATTTGGAAAGAACTCAAATACCTGGAGACTAAAGAGCATCCTACTAAAGAGTGCATGGATCAACCAGGATATTAAAGAAGAATTTGAAAAATTCACAGAAACAAATGAAAATGAAAACACAACTGTTCAAAATCTTTCCGACACAGCAAAGGTAGTCCTGAGAGGAAAGTATATAGCAATACAAGCCTTTCTTAAGAAACGAGAAAGGTCTCAAATACAGAGCCTAACCCTATACCTAAAGGAGCTGGAGAAAGAATAGCAAAGAAAGCCTAAACCCAGCAGGAGAAGAGAAATAATAAAGATCAGAGCAGAAATCCATGAAATAGAAACCAAAAGAACAGTAGAACAGATCAACAAAACTAGGAGCTGGTTCATTGAAAGAATTAATAAGATTGATAAACCCCTGGCAGAGTTATCAAAAAGAAAAGGGAAAGGACCCAAATTAATAAAATCATGAATGAAAGAGGAAAGATCACAACCAATACCAAAGAAATACAAACAATTACAAGAACATATTATGAGCAACTATTTGCCAGCAAATTAGACAATCTGGGAGAAATGGGTGCATTCCTAGGATGAATGAAACAAAATGAAACCAGAGAGGGAGACAAACCATAGAGACTCTTAATCTTAGGAAACACCTGAGGGTTGCTGGAGATGGCTTCGGGGAGGGCTGGGTGGTGACCATTGGAGAAGGTATGTGCTATGGTGAGTGCTGTGAATTGTGTTAAGATTGATGAATCACAAACATGTACCCCTGAAACAAAGAATACGGTATATGTTAATTAAAAAAAAAAAAAATAGAAGGCTCACCTAGATGCATATCAGCCCTTGGAGTGTGGACCAGTTTCAGATTCCTGATAATCATGGATCCCCCTGACGTGGGGGTGGTTCTGGTAAATGAAAATGGCTAGCAGGACTCCCCTGGCTTGTTACAGGTCTACTGTGGGGTTAGCTAGATCTCTCTCTCTTAGAGCTTTGATCAGTCCAGTTTTGCTGACTTCCTTAACTGTTGCCACATGGGGCAGACTCCCTATTGAGTTCATGGTAACCTGGAACAGTTTTGGGCCAAAGCCCATGAAAGTGAAACTCTACAAAGGCAAGAAATAAATACTGTTCATTTGGTCACTATTATTAGTTCTCTGCTTTATAGTCTTTCCTTATATATTTATATTCATATGTAACATTTTAAAATTTATATAAGCATTATTTGGAAATCCTCATCCTGTTTGTGAACTAAGTCCTTTGTTTCTTCTCTGATGTGACTACACCCCAGAGACATAAGAACATGGGAAGGAAGCTAAAATCTGTGGTAAAACAGAGGATCCAAATGGGACAGTGTCATACATTTTCTTGCTGTTTAGTTGAAATTTTGCCTGTTCGTCTGTCTACTTGCCACCTTATGCCACAAATATTTAAAGGCTACTGCTAAAGGAGAGGGTAGAGCTTTTCCGTGCTTTCTACTTGGGTATATTAAGCAGCTCTTTGCCTTGCCTCATATTTATTTATTTTAAGCATGACTATATCACTTTAGGGGCAAACTAATAAAAACCCTTCAGGTCAGAATCACAGTGAGTTATTTTCACCAGAAGCTTGAATGAGGAAAAAATGAGGTTGCTGATAATCAGCATTATCAGATGCTGTGTGTTAAATGTCCGAGGAGGGAAAGGGGCTGCAAAAGGGTGCTCAGAACATCCTTTTGAGTTTAGAATCCATCTGCATTTTAGAGGTGTTTTGCACAGAAAATTCTGTCGGTAATATGACGTAGGAAAATTCTTTTTGATGTAGGAAATTTTTAAAAAACTTTTTTATATTGAGCTATGAATCAGATATCACAGAGTTCACCTTTCTCAAGTGTACAGGCCAGTGGCTTTTATATAGTCACAAGATGGGGCAGCCTCTCACTCCAGAGCATCTTTATTACCCCAAAAAGAAACCCTCTGCCCATTAGCAATCACCACCTATTCCCATCTCCCCCCAGCCTCTGGAAACCACCATTCTACTTTCTGTCTCTGGGAATTGACCTCTCCCAGACATTTCATATGCATAGACTCACTCATAAAATACATGCTTTTCTGTGATTGACTTCTCTCGTGTAGCATCGTGTTTTCACAGGTCATTCATGTTGTAGAAGGTATCAGTCCTTCATTCCTTTTTGTGGCTAAATAGTACTCCCTTGTGTTGATATACCACATCTGGTTTATCCATCCCACGATTGATGGACATTCGGGTGGTTTGTACTTTTTCAATTGTTGTGAATAATGCTGCCAGGGATATTCATGTATTGGTTTTTCCGTGGCTCTATTTTCAGTTCCTTTGGGTATACACCTAGAGTGCAATTACTGATGTAAAATCTTGTTATTTTTCTATTAACAAGGACAATACAGGGCGTCTGGCCCAACCCTTCATCCAGTGCAGGAATGAAAATGAGAATTTTCATGACAGAATATTACCCATCTGCTTCACCGTGCCATTTCAATTCTTTTACATAACCAGGACAGACAGCCGACAACTCCCTCTGCTCTGTTTCGCCGGCGTCTGCTTTTGCAATTGCCACAGCGGCTGCAGGCCACGGAAGTCCACCAGGTGAGTAGAGTGGAGCAGCCACGTCCAGACTGACAGGAATGCAGACGAGGTCAGCGGCGCTCGCCTGCCGGGGTTGGGGAGACACTGCACAGCTGGCTAAGGAGGCAGACTCCCGACTTCCATTCTAAGTCCGTGTGTTGGACGGTCTTTCATTCATTTATTATTTATTTATGTACTAACTTATTTTAAATGTTGTTATTTGAGTATAGTTGACACCCAATTTTACACTAGTTTCAGGTGTACAGCCTACTGATTCAGTATCTCTGTACGTTACGCTGTGCTCACCACAGATGTAGCTACCATATTGTTGAGTATATCCCTATGCTTTGCCTTTTATTCCCCCTGACTTATTCATTTCATAAGCAGAAGCCTGGATCTCCCACTCCCCTTTACCGATAGACTGTCTTTTAAGTAAGCGCCTTCAGGTAAGTCTTACGCTGGGTGTTGTGTGTGTGGTACTTTCAAGAACTTCTGTGTCACAGAAGGATGTCATATTTCTCCCATGCTGCTTTGTGGAGTTCTCTAACCTTTTTAGCCAGATTATCAGGAACAAGTGTTTCCTTTATAATTGAGTACAATGGTAAAAGCATATGTAAGGTGATGATGGGGAAAGCCTGTGGGGGAAGGAGGATGGAGGGACTCTTGCGTAACAAATCTGTGTATGGTTTAAGCAGCCTTCTTGCTGTGATTGTCTTCACCTAAACTAACCCCATGGGTTCTGATCATCACGCTTTGTAGAACCATGAGTGAGGGTGTATTTTGTTTAGTAGCCATTGTTGACCTACCACAAAAGAGTCCATTTCCAAAGCCTATGAATCTGTATTCAACAATAGTAACTAGTAAGTACTATCTGTTTGAATTCTTTCTAAATTGAAGTAAGAATAAAGAGACATGTTCTAGAATGAACCTGAACTACCACAGTAAATCTATTTATTTTTTATCTGAATGGAAATCTTCGCAGATTAACCACATTCTACCTCAGTATTTTGCCATACATGCTGCATTGGACATGGTCAGGAAAATTGGGTTTTTTTTTTTTTTTTTTCTCTATTCTCAAAACCTTCTCCCCCAAATTCCCATCAACATAATACAAAATAGCCTATAATGGTAATAGCATTGATGTCTTGTCAACCCCGTTGACTTCTGTTGTCAACCCCATCCATAATAATGAACATGTCTGTGGTGAAATGACGGCGTCTTCACTATGCTCTCAGCAGGATTGTTTACCAACTGTGATTTGTTGAGACCCTCTCCTCAGTTTTTTGTCACAAGCTAGTTTCTGGAAAAGGTAAGGTGCAGAGCTTCCTCATAGGTTTTATCATTTAAATATGGTTCATGAGGGAAAAGAGTTTTTAATGTTAATCCTCCATGAGCCCATTTCTGCATTTGCGGGAGGCTGGGGAGGGAAAGGGTGCTTCTTTTTCATCTGGGATTGCAGCAAAGTTCTGAGGAGCTTTAGAGAATGGCATCTGGCTTTGGCTGGTGCGTGCAAAATGGGCCAGAAGACAAAGTGACCAAAACAGCCAAGTCTTCCACACCATTGGAACACTGCCATTTTGGCTGCCTCGATTCTGACGTCTTCCCTGCTACTTAAGTAGCTTTAGGAGGAAAGCTCCCTTCAGTGAGCTAGCTGAGGAGGGGTGGATGGTGATTGCCCGTAACCAGTGTGGCGAGGGGCAGGGTTACCCCATCCTGAGCAAGCACGCTGCTTCTTTACAACCGTGCTGCTGGTGTTGCCTGGAATGTGGTCTGGTGCCACATGATTCCACATTAGAAGGGGTTGGGTGTGGCAGTGTCTGTGGCCCTGCTGTAAGGGCGGCGGGTTGCACATGGGTCAGTTGCAGTGGCTAGTGGTGGTAAGAGAGGGGGTTTCTTTTGGAGTGAGGGCCAGCATATTCCTGGGGCTCAGCCACTCTGTGGAGCTGGCCCCCCACAGGGGATTCCTGGAGAACTGGACCTAAGAGCTGAGTACACAGGTGGCTGGGGAAGGTGGACTTGGGGGGCAGAAACAGGGAAGTGTGCAGAAGACGATCCGGAATTACTGGCTAGCCAGGGAGAGTAGGACCTCCCCTGGGAAGGGCTAGCTCCCAACAGAAAAGTGTTCAAGGTGAGAGAGGGCTAGATAGTGGCTAACTCCCACACCAGATTCTGTGTCCACTTTCTGAACCAGGAATCACTGACCCAGATTCACCCCAGAACCTAGGGAGTTGCCAAGGCAAGCAGGAGGGAAGGTTGTGGAAGCAAGTGAACACCTCACACTTACATCAGCCTTTGCAGGCCTCCCGTCTGCTTGTAGGGCTGTGATGTGGGCCCACCTGGCAGAGCAGCTCTGCCATGTCTCTGCCCCGGCGGGAAGCAAGGGGGTGCCTGGTTAGGCCACATGCTGTGCAGATTGGGCTTCCATGTTTCAGGCTGTCTCCAGGTTCTATCCTGCTTTAATCCCCTCCCACTTGCCTATTCCCACCCCTACTCCCACCCAAATACACAGGAGTCTGGCAGCTCTGGGTTAGACCTGTCAATTAATGAGTATGTTTTCAAATATTCACTCCAGGCATTTGCATGTTAAGCCATTTTTCTTTAATTATTGCTACTTTATTAAAAAGAATTTCAAATTTAGCAAGAAAGTGGACAGTTTTCTTTGTAAAGACCCCAGACAGGTTGCCCCTGCTTGGCCCTGAAGGCGGAGAAAGCTGATTTTATTTGTGGAAGATGGCCTGGGGATCCACTCCCCGGGGTCTGGGCCTACCTAATTTCCACATACACTGGAAAAGCCTGGGTTTTCCGGGACTGCTTTCTTTTAGGACCTAGAGCCCAGCCCTTTCCAAAGATAGGCAAGTCTCCTTTCTGTATCATGTTCCCCTTGCCTCTGTTGGCGGCTTCATTGTAGATGAAGGAAAGCCTAATTCTGTGGGTATGATTGCAACCCTAAAAGCAATCCTTGTTAACTTCACAGTATGAAGATTCACCAGTTTATTTAGTGCCTGCCTTCTGACTGGCAGCCAAGTTACATTGGGCCCACTTAAGGTAGGATCCAGAATTTGGAGGCCTAACACTTACACAGTTGTCTCAAGGAAAAGAATACAAAAATCACAAATACAGACCCTCAGGATACCTCCCAGGGCTTCGGCAGAAGTGAGAGGCCCTGAAGCTTGAGTGTCATTGGCTTCCTGTTAAATAAGCTTATGAGTCCAGTCCAGATCATTCTTGGACTTGCAGCAGCTGTAGGAAATTTTGTTGGTGGGAGGGGGGGGGGGGGGTGGGACCATCATCAGTCAATCAAGTGCCCTTTCCTGTAGTGAGGCTTTAACTCTATACAAGACCGAGATGAAGGACAATTTGCAAGGTCTTGAGTGTCACTGTGCTGGTGGCAGTGTATTTTTAAGCATCTGCTCAAATATAGAAGCTCTGCACCAAAGTAGAATTTAAAATGTGCGCATTTCTGAGGATTGCTGATGCAGGGACTCTGCAGGTGCAGGTTGGACACAGCTGTGGTATGAATAGAAGTGCACAGCCAGGGAGTACACAGATCAGGGCACATCGTGGTGCTTACTACACACCTGAAGCTCTAGGGTTAATTATAGACTTTATGAAATGATCTAAAGTGAAATATGGAAGAGTGAGGTGGGTTATTTTTATGAGACTAGAAATCATGCCAATGGAGGTACTATAAGCCACTCTTGATCATCTGTGAGCAGATGGTATGTTTTACCTTTCAACGCAAGATAAGGTAAATTAACAAAATGAGGAATGGTTGAATGTACTTAAGGGAAAGCTCATGGCACAGTCGCAGTTGCTAAGAGAAATAGTGAGTTCTTTACTGGTAATTACTTGGTCCTTGTAAAGTAGGTAATTCATAATCTGTTCTCTTTTCTGTCAAACCACTCAAGGCTGTGTAATCAGTAATAGATCTGAACTTGGTGTGAATTTGGCTTGGGCCAGTTTTTTAAAACCCTGGTACCTGGTCCCATCCCCAGAGATTCTGACTTGACTGCTCTGGGTACAACGTGGGCATCAGGATTTTTTTAAATTCCCCAGGAGATTCTAGTGGGGAGGCACGCTGGGGAACTGCTGGACTATGGAGGAGGCTTTGTTTGTTCCTTCTCTGGCTGCAGCATTCCCAGTTTATCTCCCCTGACCTATCTGGACTACATTATTTTCTCCTTAGATAAGGCAGGAGTGGGAGAGATGCTCCTCCCCCAGCTTGGTAAGGCTTAGACAGTCCTTTTCTCTGGAGAGTAGACCTTTTTATGGAGAAGGCTCTGAGTGTATTTCACAACGGTGCTCTTCCCCCTTCCCTGCAAGAGCCAGAAGTAGTATGGGGACCCCCTAAGAAGACAGTCCTCAGCAGTGCCCACGCTAACGCTGGTGCACACGCAGCCTCTAGCAGTTGGTCAAAATGACCATTTGGTGTTGCTGCCCCTTCCTGGCTCCAGCACCTTCTGCTCCTGATAAGCAGATATCAGCTGTGTCCCTCCAGATTTGGGGCTGGCCGTTTGTCCTGCAACCTCAATTTTTTGATGTGTCCAGGTCATTGATTTTCAATTTGTCCACCTTTTACCTGTTATAAAGACAAATATGTCAGCTTCTAAGTTCTTTACACGTCAAGAGCTGAAGCTGGAAGTCTCTCTTGAAATTTTTATAGTGATTCTATTGATTCTCTAGGTCAGTTTGGGGAGAATTGTCAATCTTAATAATATTTGCTCTTTCGGGGCACCTGGGTGGCTCAGTGGGTTAAGCCTCTGCCTTCGGCTCAGGTCATGATCTCAGGGTCCTGAGTTTGAGCCCCACATCGGGTTCTCTGCTCAGCAGGGAGCCTGCCTCTCCCTCTCTCTCTCTGCCTCTCTGCCTACTTGTGATCTCTGTCTGTCAAATAAATAAAATCTTTTAAAAAATAATATTTGTTCTTTTAATCTCTGAATGTGGAATGTTCTTTTCATGTATTTAGATGTGTGCTTATCTCAGCAGTGTTCTTCATTTCTCAGCATATAAGTCTTAAAATT